TCTGAGTCAGCTGTGCCCCTTCCAGTGCTCTGTGTCAGCTGTGCCCCGCCCAGTGCCCTGTGCCCCTTCCAGTGCCCTGTGGCCCTGAGTCAGCTGACTTAAAAGCCATTACTATGCACAAACTCTAGTGGACGCCAGTTAATAGGTGCAGATCTGGGGGTAAGAAAGCCACCTGACAGGTTAGGACAGAACTACACGGGGTCTTTCCCGGCTCTCTGGATCTAAGAAGACACAAAGATAGCTCTAGAGCCAGTTAGGACAAAAGTGGGTAGATGCAGTTCCTCAATATGTCTTGGCCGCCCCAAGACATGGGGGCATAGCTACCCAGTACAGACTTCTGTAGTTTGGATGAAATGTACCCTGCCCAAAGTCCATGCATGAAAAATTTATTCCAGAACAGGACCAATGGGAGGTAGCAGGTAGGTGCTAGGAATCTTAAGATACGGGGTTTAGTCAGAGGTTTTACATCACTGGGGCTATGACTGCAAATAGAGCCTGGGACCCTTGTTTTCTTGGTCTTTTTTGTGTCCCAGCCATGAGATAAACAACTCTGTTTCAGTATGTACTGCCCCATGATGTTTGGCTTTGCCACCAGTTCAAAAGCAACAGGGTCAACTGACCATGGACTGAAACTTCCACATCTGAGAACCACAACAAACATTTCTCCCTAAGCTGATTATCTCAAGTAGTTTTGCTATAGCAGCAGACAGCTGACTCTGCCTCCATCGATGTCTACAGACAATGAGGAGAGCAATGCCCTGCACAGGCCTGTGGAAGAAGGAGTCTGGAAGGGGCAGCGTACCGACAGGAAGGATGGCCAGGGTCCCCTACCCGTTCCCCTTTCACGGCAAGCATCAAGAGTTGAGAGGATCAGAGAGCGAAAAAGCACATTGTCTGAATCACAGGATGTCTCCTGGACTGGTCCCCGAACAGCTCTGTGCTTTTCAACTTTAAAGAGACTGATAATCTCTTTTTAAATCAACTACAGAGGTGTCTGAAGAACAAACAAAACACCATAAATCCTTATGTGAACAGGAGAAGGTTTAACAATGAGACTTATTCCAGCGTGGACTGCCCTGCTCTGTAGCCCTTCCTGCTGGGCAGCCTGCCCTTCAGCCTGCTCAGGCTGTTTCCAGGGATGCTGAGGCTGACAAAGCCTGTCTCTCACTCCTGAAAGGGGACAAATGAAGTAGACCTTAGAGTCTGAATCAGTAAGGGCTCCGGGGGAAGCCATGCCTGAGCCAAACCAAAACAGAACAAAACAAAAAACACACAAAAACAAAACTACTTTTCTTTGTGTTTCAACCGAGCCAACATTTCAGTCCTTGCCACATAGACGCCACACTGCAAGAGGCACTGGTGTTCAGTTGCTGGGTTCCAACACTGCCCTTCCTGCCATGCTGCTTAGGGGCACACTGCAACTGTTTCGTCATGGAGTTCCAGAGAGTGGGCAAGTAGGTAGCGGTGGTTCTGTGCCCGGGCTGAGCACATGTGGCTGTGTTCTAAACAACTGACTTCACTCCTGGTCACAGTGACAGAGGTTTATAAAAGTGCCCAGGTATGAAGGCTGATTTCGGAGCCAAGATATGCCACATAGTGTATGTCTTATGCATCACAGGATAGATTTGAGCAGTCTGAATAAAATCTGCTATTATCCAGGTCAATACATAGTAAAAGAAAATGTCCTCCTTACAAAGAAACTGAGGGTCTGTGCTTGTTTATACTGTAGAATTTATCTAAGGCAAACATATATGAATTTTGTGGGACTATGTTCTCATGGAACATGCAAGTTGTCTGAAGGTTATATATATTAGGCTCAGGAGATGCTTATGGTGGTCTCGCTAGGTTCTTGACGATTTAAGGGTAAAGGATCCCTGGGAAGATCTGAGAACTCCACTGTTTCCCCAGACACACCTAATCCGGCACCATTTCAGGAAATGCCTTTCAGTGGATTCCCGCCTTCCAATGAAATCTGGCTTAACCGCACACACTGAACTGGCACACCTACTCAGCAGTTTCTCCCCATCAGCCACCCAAGGTGCAACGTGAACCTGACATCTTTAGCCTTTAGTACCTAGGATCCAGTTTCCAGGAAGACACTTGGTTGTGTAAACTAAAGAACATAGCTGTGTACTCATCTGGCTTCAACTGGACACGGGCAGTACTGATGTGTAAATGTCCCATAGCCTGTCACTGGGGGCAGCATCTTGTCTTCTAAGCCCCAGTACAAACCAGTGTTCCAGACCTGCATCCCGAGCGAGCAGAACCCATCTCCTGTATCACTGTTTTCTCTTTTGTGGTGGCTCACTTTCTCTGGGAAGCGACAACGTCAGCTGAGGAACTGCCTCCATCAGACTGGTCTGCGGGGCATTTTCTTCACTGCTGATGGAAACAGAAGGGCCCAGTTTTCTGCGAATGCTGCTGTGTCTGGGCAGGTGGCCCTGGGTTGTGTAATAAGGTAGCTGAGCGAGCTTCTAAGAGGCATTCCTCCACAGTCTCTGCTCCTGTTCCCATTTCCAGGTTCCTGCTTGAGTCTCCATCCTGACTTCCCTCAAGGATGGACTATGGCCTGCAAGCCAAATAAACACTCTTTCTCAAGTGGGTTTGCTCAGTATTTACCACAGCTACAGAAAAGCTATGAATATGTCATAATAACCGCACACTTCCTTGCTTTTCTTTCCTTTCTGTGTGGAAGTCTCTCACCTGGCATAAATGGCGAAGTCTTCTTCTGACAGGGTATCTGAGAGGTTAATTCCATAGACCTCCTTCATGGGCTGGACCACAGTCTAGGGTTTTAAGGACAGGAATTGGTTAGAACCATCAGATAGTCTCCATGTCAATGTCTCCAGAGCTGAGGGAAACGAGTCTAATAATTTTTCTACAAAAGCAATAACAGTTTCTTATGTTGCTCATTAAACTTCAGCTAATGGCTTTCAAAAAGATCGGTTCACTGGGAGCAATGGCTCACGCCTATAATCCTGGCACTCGGGAGGTTCAGGCAGAAGGATTGCAGGGAATGTGAGGCTAATCTGGGTTATACAGTGAGTTCTAGTACAGCAGGGTATGGAGTGAGACCCTACCTCAAGACAAAACAACAATAGCAACCCCAACAAACAAACACAGACCTCAGGAAAACTGAGTTCTGTCTCCTGCTAAAGAGGCTTCATTTAAGGTTTAAAAAAAAAAACATGGTAAATAAAAATGGTTGCTGTGTCTACTACAGGAGCTGTACATTTCTTTTTACTTTTTCTGTCAAAGGACAGATAGTAAACAGTCTGGGCTCATAAGACTATATGGCCTCTGTTGCTACTACTCAGCTTCAGCGTATAGTGTTGGCCACCATATGCAGTGGAAGCGAGTAGGCACAGCTGCTCTCCAATATAACTTTATTTTCACGACAGGCAGCAGGCTGGATTTGGCCAACGTCAGCTCATCACTCCTTACCTAACAGGACTGGTTCCTACCACATTGTGACTTTTAGTTATTTCTAGAAAGCTTCCCTCAAAGCTAGACTATCGGGTCCTCTGCTGTTCTGTCCACTTGTTTTCCTTACGATGTTAGCAAATTGAATTGGACGGGACTCATTCCCACAGGGCTATTCAAAGGCAGGTCCCAACCCTGCAGGCCAAGTGTCCACTGGGGAAGAAACAGAAATCAAGTAGACAAGACGCTCTTAAAGCTCCTGGAGTGGTAGAATTTACCACGACCCAGAGGAGCACAGCCCGGAGGACTTCCAAGGTCAATGCAGATACGCAGTCATTCTATGCTGTGCCTGGAGCACCGAACATGTGAGCGGGGAACCGTGACATTTTCCTGCTCTCGGCCTTTTAAGTGAAAGCAGAATGCTAAAGATCATTTTCCAGAGCCTGGGGCTGGCTCACGCATGCTTCCTGCCCCCGCACCTCAGTCACTTTGGTGCTGTCCCCAGTGTCCGTCATCTTCACAGGAGTGGAGCGCTGAGACACAGAGCCTTCATCTTCCCGGTCGGTGCCAGAGTCATCCTCAGAGCTGCTGGACACGGCCTCCTCGCTGGGGGGTGGTGGGGCGCTTGCTGCTGTTTTCCGCTGTAAGACGGCTTCCTCTCGATTGCTTTTGTTTCTTGAAAAGAGAAGAATAAGAGCGTGAAGCCTCTTCAGGCTGAACCTTTAGCCCCCAGTGTGGACGGATGTGCCCTAAGCCCATATCGGACTGAAGCCCAAGAACAAGTGAGAAGCTAGCATCTGGATTCCAGTCACGTTGGAGTGGAAAGCCTCGTACTTAGCTTCCAGACACTGAGATTGCTGTCATTTAAAAATAAGTCAAATGTACCCGAGGAGACAGAGGCCTTCTTACCACTTGGCTCCGGCACTTTCTTCTCGTAACTGAAACTGGGGTTTTCTACATTTCTGACTCGGTGCTGGGCAGTGCTGGAGATCTCGGGGATGGGACTCAGACCCTCCAGCTTACAGAACAAGTCTAATACAGACCGAGCCATCTCCCATGCCCTGCCCCTACTGTAAAATATTTCAATAGGTGTGGCTACAAACACAGTCATACTTGGAAACATCCCAGGAAAGATTAAAAAGCAGTATGTCTCACTAGAGTTTGATACGGTTAAAAACAATTCCATTCTGGGCTTTTCCAACTAAGACTTAAACCTGACAGTGTGTCTGTGCGACACCTCTGCCCAAGTGGCCGGCTGCTTTTCCCACCTGCGAACACCTGGGCTGAAAACTCCTCAACACTTCCCTTCCTTTAAACCGCTCTTAAAGTTTGGTCAGAGCTTAATGCAAAGTTCCCGAGAGGCCATGGGTTTAAGGTCCAGAAATGATACATCTTGAAAATATTTGTATATGACCCCGTGTATAAATTACACATGGTTAAAATTCAATTGCATATCCACTAGATACAATTGGGATACTCTATCTACAGTCTTGCTGTGACTTCTGGTCCAAGTAGAACATCAATGTTTCCATTGTACCTGGGCAGGTCAACAGAGGTGACTGAGGGTCTTCTCCCCGAACCCTACACGCTTCACTCCAGTCTCCCAGAGAGAAGATGTAAACATGGAGTGTTCTTGTCATACTGTTAGACTTGGTAATTTCTTCTTGCAAATAATGTTTTAGCCACGCACAGGAAACTTATCAAGTTCTCAGAGTACACCTGAGTTTACATTCAGCCAACAAAAATCAATACAACACGTACAAATTTTAATTAAGTATTCCATGTTGAGAAACAAGGAAAGCTGGGTTATTGATAGAACATCTGTCCTCATCTTCATCCCATATGTTCTGTTCCCAGTTTAAAGTCACAGAATATACCACCTTGCTGTGAATTCTATTTTCCACAGTGAACATTTTAATAACCCCAGTGCTATACATCAGCTACCGGTACAGATGCAACAAACAGACTTGCATGCAACGTGACATCATTAATTCTGCATGGAAATACTACTGCAAGCACTACTATTTTACATGAATCTTTAAATTTTCATTCTATATGCAAATCTTACCCCAGTACAGATTTTCCGGTTTCATCTGGTTTTCGTACAGTAAATGGACTTGGATCGATGCCAACAGTCTTCGGCATAAAATCACTAGAAAAAAGGTAAAAGACCATATAAATCACTGTCTATGTAGATGATGCTGCATCGACCTCAGCCCACACTCACTGTATTCTGCTAACCTTGCCCTGGGTCTATACATATTCTAACACAAGTACCTCACGAGTGCTCCAGCTGATAGAGCTGCAAAAAGTCCATGCACTAACAGCTCTGGGCAATGGCCAGACTGCAGGAGCCCAGCTTTGAAGGCAACAGTGTGTTTGCTGGAAAGTGATGACATCTAAGGCATGGCGAGGATGCATACTGCCTGGTTAAATATCACAATTCATTCTCTAGTAAATAAACCAGTAGCCAAACACTGGCCCGTTCAAGTCTATGCACCATAATTTCAAGTCAGGTCACTAAAGGAGGTAGACATATGATCAAATCACAGTGGTATGAATTAAAATAGCAATAGCCACCTCATTAAGCCAAGGCTAATAATTCATAACACTACTGTTGGAATCAGCCGTGTTTGAATGAAAATGTCCCCATAGACTCACAGGGATGCCACTACTGGGGGTGTGATCTTATTGGCAGAGTGTGTCACTGGGGGTGGGCTTTGAGGTTTCAGAAGCTCAAGCCAGGCCCAGTTTCTACTCCCCCAACACCTTCCCCACCCCTGCCTCCCGATCCAGACTTACAACCCTCAGTTAACTCTTTAACACTGTCTGCTTGCATGCCAGCATGCTTCCCACCAAGATGGTAACAGACTAAACCTCTGAACTGTAAGCCAGCCACAATTAAGTGTTTTCCTTTATAAGAGTTGCTGTGGTCATGGTGTCTCTTCACAGCATTAGAACCCTAACAAAGACAGAATACTTTACGTTGAAGCTGATTTAATATTCCACACACTGAGATAAGCCCAGGCTTCTTCCTCAGCATCAAGGCATATCTTCCTGTCACCACAGAAGCCAGGCACACCACACACAGCTGTGCCAACAGGGCAGCAGTCCAGTGGGTTCTGCTAATCCCTGGCTTCTGGTGAGGGTCTCGCTTCCAAGCTGTGTCTGAATGCTATATTTGTGTGTGTATGTGTGTGTGTGGGGGGGGGATCTTGGGTCTGCCTCAAAAAGTCTACTTAATTTTATCTTACTAGTTTTCTGTTTTGTTTTCCTGAGGCAGGGTCTTGCTGCACAGACAAAGTTGGTCTTGAGCTCACTCCATAACCCCAGACAGCCATGACCTCACAGCAATCCTCTTGCCTCAGCCTCCTTGATGCTGAGATAACAGACCTCTACCACCATACTGGCCAAATGTCTATTTAATAGTCTGAAAATGTCTTGGTAAGCAATTTTTTTTCTTTCTTTTTAGACATAAAGGAAGAAGAATGAGTGGGAGGAGGAAGAGAAGACATTTGCAGACTTCACATGTGTGCGTGTGCTTACTCACTAAAATGTATGTGTGACACAAACCCACACTCTCGGCTGGAACAGGCACTTCTAGCACGTGCTCGGACAGAGCCCTGAGAGCCTGAGTCACCAGCTCTCGAGGTATAGAGGGTGGACGCTGTCTTCACTTTGGCTCTCACACTACAAACAAGTGCCCTTTAAGCCATCTATTCAGGGCTCTTCTTTCACACTGGTGTGTACTTTTTGTTGGTAATCTTGCTGCTTAAAATGGTCCCTGAGCACAAGGCTATGGCTATTTAGTGTTTCTAACCATAAGAAGCCTCTGGTGTGCCTTGTGCAGAAAATGTGTACAAGTACAATGCCAGGAAGGAGGGAAAAGACAGGAGAGGGGAGCAGAGGAGAGGCAAGGAGGGGAGAGGGGAGCAGGGGGGAAATGAGGAGGGGAGAGGGGAGCAGGCGAGAGGCAAGGAGGGGAGAGGCGAGGAGAGCAGAGCAGAGGATGTGAACACGAGGATCGGAAAACCTGGGTAACTTTACTGAAGTTACAAAGAAAATGACTGACCTAAGATGAACACCCCAGCTTTTCTAACATGGTCATTCCATGTTAACCCTCAGTTTCTACTTTAAGTAAAAAACACCGAGTTGATTCCAAATGGCAAGTTAGGGCGAATAAACCCAGTTGAATACTGAGGGAGTTGAAGTGACAGGCTGCCCATCTCAGGAAGCATTCCGACTCAAGGCCACCGCTCAGCAGCTTCCAGGACAGATTTCTGGTAAAGACAGACACACCTCTAAGGACTAGAGAAATGAGAGTTCCCCTGCGCTTACAGCTTTGAAGTATCCACAACGTACCGTGCTGAACTTGTCATGGCCAAGCAAAACGTATCATCAAAACTGCTCAGTTCATACGGCCGGAAGAACTCATTGTGAATGTCTATCTCCTCTTCACATCTGTGGAATTTCTTCACTGTCAGCTTCCTTAAGTTTGCTGCGCAGATGACTGAGAGGGAAAACGTCTGTTACTCAAAACACTTGGTACCACCAGCACACATCTGCATAACTCCATAACACCACCAGAGATCAGAGAAGGCCCCACCATATCCTGTGCCGGACACAGCTTTGACCAAGCTCACTCAGCTCCAGTGAGAGAGAATCACACTCAGAAAACAATCCATATCTTCCCGTAACTGCTTAAGGAGGGTCTCAGAGGTCCAGGGAAAAGCAGAGAGCTACTTCAGAAATTTAATTACTCCTTCCCTCAAATTCCCTTTTACTCTCACATCCCCACCCCTGCAATCCAGCTTAAACCAACAGACTGCAGCTCTTCTCTAAATCTCTGTTACTATTGCTATTCATATCCTATTAATGGTCATTGTTAAAGTCCATTCTAGGCCAGGGAGATGGCTCAGTAGGCGAAGGGACTTGCAGCCAAGTCTAATGACATGCGTTCCACCCAGGACCTACATGGTGGAAGGAGAAGACTGGATCCCATGATCTACACACATCTCCCATGGTACACACATTCAAATATACATACATGCCCATACAAAAATAAAGTAAATAAAGCACTTTCCTTTCTCCTAACAAACTCACCTCAGCAATATTATTAATGATTTTGTACAGAGTTTCAAGTTGCATATACTTGGGAAATGAATTAATAATTTAGTAACAACTTAGAAATCTTTGGTAACCGGTTCTGAACTTCCCCACTCAAAATTCAGATGCAGAACCATGGCTTAAATAGAATCCTCATCTACTATACTTTTGCAAATGCAAAACTGGTTGCCCAAGGTTAAGACAATTAATTACTAATATAATCACACAGTCAGGACTATACTATATCTAAAGTTGGAGAACTGTTTAAATTTGGAAATATCATTCTAATGTATAGTACATTTTAATGTATTCCTTTATATAATTTCTCCTACATATCTGACACATTAATAAAATTTAGTTTAAATGTGATTAGAAAACACATACATACATAAATACACATACACACACCTACTTTTTTCATCACTTAACTATAGAAAAAAATGTTTAATTTTGGCTTACTTCCTCTCAATCTCTCTAAGATACAATAAAAATTAATATGAAATATAATCAGGGGACTGATGAGGTGGCTCAGAGGTTAAGAGTACTGGCTGCTCTCCCAGAGGTTTTGAGTTCAATTCTCAGCAACCACATGGTGGCTCACCACTATCTATAGTGAGAGCTGGTGCCCTCTTCTGGCTTGTAGGCACACATGCAGGAGGAACACTATATACATAATAAATAAATAAATCTTTTAAAATGCAAAAGCACTAATTTATATAAAAAAGGAAAGATAATCAGTCCTAATTTAAAATGAACTACCACATCAACCAAATGTTTGTATAGCTTATCTAAAAACTCTAAGCCACAACATAGGGAGGCAGGGCCTACTCAGAAAAAGAAGTATAACCCTCTCTTCCTATAAGACACCAAGAGATGTCATGGTCCCCTAACAAAGAGCAACATAATGATGACTCCACTTCTTTTCATAGGGTACCGTATCAAATGCTAACGCCTTAACCCTATCTAGGCATTGTTCTAAAATATGTGGTATACAGGGCAGGAAACCCTGACTGCTCTACGGGATGGAGAGGGAGGAGGAGAAGGAGTGGGGGGAGTGGGAGGGTGTTGGGAGGAGGGGCTGAAATGGAAACTTTTATAATTTAATAAAAAAAATGGCAAAAAAAATAAAAATAAAATATGTGGTATAGAATCTAAGAGAGAAGCAGGTACTCACCTTCATCGTAAGGCAGTGGCAAATGCTTTATCACCTCCGGGGTCCACCAGTAAGTGTAGCTGCAAAGGTGAAATGGACAAGAGGAACCAAATGTAAATGCTGACTTTCTACAGCTCAACACGTCAAAGTTGCTGCCCTCTACTTCAAACAACACATCTGCAGAGCTTTTGGCACGGTAGGTCTGCCTGTGCCAAACTGCTCCTCTTTTCCTTTGCTGCTACGTGTCCATCGCCAGAGACTTGAAATGCTTAGTTTTTAGCTAAAAAAGCAGATTTGTAGAGACTATGCAGACTCAAGGTTACTCCTCTGGGTACCATTTCACCTGGTGAACAGCGAGACCGTGACCCAAGTCTAGTTATCTGGAAGCTAAGGTTACTTTCTACTGTGTTATGGGATATGTGTGCACAGTTAATAAAGCAGATCATTGGAATCATAAGGAGCAAACGGGACAGTCCAAAAGAACGAGCCCCCTTGGGGCACTCCATGGACTCTGTCCATTCTAGCTGAAACACAGACCACTTATGTGCAGAGGCCAGAGCCAGGGCAGAGAACATCAACTGTCTGGGCTTCTGCTGGGAGATTCATCTCTGATATATGCAGAGAATCGAGACAAGTCCTGAAAACCCTTCTCTCTCAACAAAGAATTTAATCGTAAATTGAGTTCTAATAAAATAGAAATTTCAGGAGAAAGAACTGTGCCAAAATTTGTGAAAGCTAGACAGTAAAATAATACAAATATAAAAGAAAGTCAACTTCCACTAGTTTAAAGATAAAGCCTTTGGCTCAAACCACTACAAAGAAAATTTAATACAATGAGTTTTAAGAGATAAAATGGTCCCCCCCAGTGCTGCGGGCCCTTTGTCTCCTGAGTCCTGGGAAGACCAGCTAGCCCTGTTGCCCTGCTGAGCAGTTCTTCCCAGAGAGATCCTTCATCTGGCGTTGGATGACGATACAGATGGAGGCCCGCGTTGGAGCACCGAACTGAGCCCCCCAAGATCCAAATGAGGAGCAGAAGGAGGAAGAAAATGACGAAGGACTGCGAGGGATACTATCACCCACTGATACAAGGGGTCGGATCTAATGAGAGTTTACCAAGGCCAGATGGACCGTGACTGAACGAGCATGTGATCCAACCAGATTCTCTGAATGTGGCCGGATTTTCTGAATGTGGCTGGCCTGCAGTCTTTCTGAGAAGCCATTGACAATGACACTGGGACTGGTTTCCTCTGCATATACTGAATTTTTGGGATCCAGTCTGTTTGGGTGCTCACCTTCCTGGACCTGGAGGGAGGGGGGAGGAACTTGGACTTCCCACAGGGCAGGAGACCCTGACTGCCCTTGGGGACAAAGAGGGAGGAGGAGAGGGAGGGGGGGAGTGGGAGGGCATTGGGAGGAGGGGCGTAAATGGAAACTTTTTATAATTTAATAAAATTACTTTCAAAAAAAATAAAATAAAATGAGATCATTTCATTTTTTTAACTTCAAAAAAAAGAGATAAAATGGTAAAATTATGGTCACGAGTATTCCTAATTATGAAAAAAATGAAGGAGTGTCTAAATGCCACTGGCAGGATGTCTCCTAGAGATGGCAAACAGAACCCACCCTGGAAGGAGAGGAACCATTGCAGGGAGCCTGGGGACCCAGGGTGTAAGCAGTGCTGACAGAGGAAAAGTTTTCCTGGGGTCTAATCAGGACATTTGTCCCAATTCACTGTGCGCAGGTATCCTTTGGCCTTCCTACAAATCCAATCCTGAGCCAGAAGACTGGTTCTGGAGTTTTGACTTGCCACCCAGTGACCCTGCAGGACTGTTTCCAAGCTGCTTTCTTAACAGCAGGCCTGGCACCATGAAAAGACCTGGGAAGAATCTGCCACTTACAGAGGGTTAATTTAATTGTTCGGTGGTTTTCCATCACCTATACTGTATCAGACACTGCCCAAAGCATTTAAATTACTACACTGGAAATAACAGCCGCACACGGGGTAGGAGGGAGTGTGTGCAGCCCAAGCAGAGGATTATCTCTAGTTAAGGGTCCTGGTGCAGGTGAGATGTGAATCTTACTCCACTGGAGATGGCTACATGCATTCTTCTCTGTATCGTTACAATTTCAATGCATGTGCTGCTGAAGCCAGCACGCTAAATGCATTCTTGATGCCCCAAAGTAAGAGGAAGGCAGCTCCCGACAACCACATGTCAGCAAAGGTGACAATAACACCAGCAAAGTCAGATTCAAGTTTTCCGTAGAGATAGGTTATGAGTAACCCAACAAGATACATTTGCATATACAAATAAGCCACATTCATGCTAATTTCATTTTCTTTTGTGGGCAGAGACAGACAGGGCCCAACTATTAGAAGGGTGGAGTGCATGGGGCACACATGCACGTGAGGCAGAGTGTGTGTATTTTTTATTCTCTGATGACCCAACTCAGGCAAAGGAAGACAGCAGAGAAGATATCAACTAGTATATGAGGAACTCACTAAAAATACGTTGCTTACACTTGACTTGCTTAGGAAAAAGAAGCAAACATTGTCTAAAGAACGAGTTTTAACTTGGAACGTACTATACAGACACGGTGCTTTGAATAAGAATGGTTTCCAGAGGCTCATATATTTGAATGTTTGGTTCCAAGTTGGTGGAACTGTTTTTTAGGGGGTTCTTGTTAGAGGAGGCGTATCACTGGAAGCCCATGCCGGACCCCCAGCCTCCGTCCCCTGCCTGAGGACCAGATGTAAGCTCTCCGCTGCTTCTCACTGCCTTTCCCGCCTGTGTGCTGCCATCCTCCCCACCGTGATGACAGCAGACTCGCCCTCTGGAACTGTGAGCAGGCCCCCCAATTAAATGCTTTCATTTCTTTTATAAGTTGCTGTGGCCATGACGTCTCTTTACGGCAATAGAAAAGTTAACTAAGACAGACAGACAACTAGAATTAAAAGATACTGTTGCATTGGTGATTTGAGACCAGAACGAAAGTTTTCACACGATATTATTAGACTACATTTCTCTAAGTAATATAAAATGACAAAAATATTTTTGAAAAGCCGATATTCTGAGTGGGTCTCAGAAACGAAGCCCATGAAACAGACATGCCGTGGAGAAGATGAACTGAGACAGACGGAGGGTGAGAGAGGACAAGGACCATCTTATCCCCTCCATCACCGCTGCCACCGGGTGCACCTGCTGGAGGGGAGGGAGCACCTGCAGGGCGGAGCCCTGCTCTGGGGCTAAACATCACCAGGCAGGTGACTGGATGTCGGGAATGTATTCCTTTGTGTGCAACACCCCATAAATCTCTCTCTTCTTCTCAGGCCCTAGAATTAAGAGAGCTGAATTCCACTGGATTACTTAGCTTAAAGAGAATTTTCAGATGAACCACTTTTAATTCTCCCAGCTACCTCAAGAGTTCTTTAGAACAAGATACGTGAACATGAAGAAAACAGTCAATATCACTGAACAAGACAGACACACGAACAGGGCAACAGCATCCTAAGGACCCACAACTGCTTGAAGATCCCAACTGTGAAGTGCCAGACAGCGTGATGTGGAGGGAATTATCAGGTGGCACACCACAGGTTCAACTCAGCATTTCTCATCCAAGACTTAGACTGAGATCAAGACGGAAAGCTGATTAAATCTAAGAAGTATTTTATATACTTCTTAATATTACTGGAGTATTTAATTAATATAAGATATATTGAACAATGTTTTCGTTCTTGTGGAGACAAAGTGTGTACTGGCATGACAAGAATGGTGTTCACCTGATGGTGAGACATGGTTAGGGATGTGGTGGCTTGAAGAGATAAGGATCTCAGAGAACACTGTCACAGCAGGATGCTGAAAACAGCTACAGCATCTTTACTCTTAAGGACAAGCAGAGGATGCAGACACTGAGGGGTGGTCCCCGTGGTCTCACAATCACTGGCCAAAAACAGGCCAACCTCTGACCCCTACCACAGGCATGGCCGCAACCTTAGGATGGACTTTAACGTCAGCTGACTGCACACAGGGAGAATGTCGTGGACACTGGGGTCCCCGAGGAACAGATGGAACATCAGCAGCTATTAAATCTGAGGAAGAGATTTTGAATGTAAGAATTTATCTTTAAACAATTATCGAGTTGATGAGGGGATCATCTTCCAAAGGGCTTGGTGGACTGAGGGGTCAGCACAGCAGATTTCAGAAAAGCAGCTCTCAGTCCACGATGAGAAACAACGGTGTAAGCGATGGTCCTAACCACCACCTCCTCACAGAGGGCAGAGGCGCATTCTGGGTACAAATCTAGGCTGACCAAACATGGGGTAGATGATAACTCTCTGGGAAGACAGGAAACTCACAAACCAGACTGAGCAGGGCCAGAAAAATCAACTCAAAAAAAAAAATCAATGAAATAATTGATGCGTGGTATCTAAAACCAGGCTGGGGACATTATAAGCATGTCATTGGCGTCTGAGGTAATATATGACATATTAACCAGGCTTCGAGTGAAGGTTCAGTGAGTGGTTTGAGCACTTCACTTCAGCACACCTGGCATTCAGGGTAACAGCGCAGAAGCAGTTACTGAAAAACAACCTGAATCCTTGGTAGAGTGGGTTTTGCGCCCCACCCTCCCCCGTTATCAGTAAGCACATTACAGCATTGGTACACAGTGTAGATACAGGACAGCCACCAAGTCTGAAAACGCAGATGAATATATGACCAAGTGTCGACTGCTATGACATTACGCCAATGATGAAACAGTGCCCAGTTTCCAGATGTTATGGGGACCCTGCATGATTTTAATAAATGCTGAAAAGTGCAGGGTGTTTCTTTAGAAGACAACAGCATGAACACCTATGGGACTCGCTGTGTGCTAAGGTTTCCAACGATCTCAGCTGGTCCCCAGGGAAGCACAGTTTTCTTGATAAAAAAGCAGAACTGACCAGTTGACTGACTTTGTAAAAGGTGGCTGGGGTGTCAACGAACAGGAGGTGTACCAGGGCCCAGCTGCTCCAAGATTGGGCTTTTTCACCTACACCGTAAAATGACCTGAGCTCCAGCACCATCTCCTTCCCACTGATGAGAAAACAAGGTCCCAGGGCCAGGAAGGGGTCCCAGTGTCTATTCCCAGAAACTCGAACTCAGTGCCATGTGAGCTAGCCTGAGTCCCACGCTCTTGTCTGCTGTTGCCTCTGGTTTAACCGTTGATCTCTGTAGGGAATGACCCCGATTTAACAGTAATGAGAATAACCTACACCGCTGGGTGATACTAAAAACTCCCCAACCAAACACTGAAATGCATCTCGGTGTGACAAGCTCAGTTTACGAGGAACATCAGCTGATGGTTTATATCAAACGGGCTCTGGTATTGAAGGAAAAACAAGTACAGTAGAGTAACGGAGTGAACCCCTCGATAGAACTGTCGGGCTTGGAACTGCTCTTGCTGACTCATCTAAGTAGCTGAATGATCTCAGTCAAGACACACTCTTTCTGCACCCCACCATCCTATTTGAGGAAACGGGGGTGTAACACAGCTTCGCTTCGTTCCCACACATAGACCCCCAAATCCACCTGCTTCAGTTATGTAACCCAAGGTAAGTCCGCAGCGTTATACTTGGGGATGCATAGATCGTTTCTGCAGTAGGAACTGGCGCATTGGCTGATTCCAAGTTGTTTCTTAAAAGCTTCGGAACTGGGCAATGTAACATTTCAGAAAATCAACACATTTACCTCTAGTCAAGTACAGCAAAGTGAAATACTAGTGTTTACACACAGGTCATAAACAACAGCTACAATTTTAAAACTTACAGAGCTTCATTTAGAGAGAAAAAAGAACATGAATTAAGGTATTTACTCCAATATGAGCTGGAGAGAGACCTATAAACCCTGAGACTTTGCTAGCAGGTTAGATATTTCTGCAGCAACACGCAGCTTATGATTGTCTGTGGTGTGCGTACAGCCACAGGCGGGCAGTAACTCAGAGTAATAAGCAGGCAACTCTGCCATGTCAACCTGACTCTGAGCAGAAACTGCTATGGGAGAGTCTGATGTCAGCACACGCTTTGAGAGGAAATGAGCCATGATTCAACTTCCCATATACTGCTCAAGAGGCACAACTGATCAGATCAGCATAGGACTCTTACTTAACACACTAAAGAACCCTGTAGCTAAGTGCTAAGGGTGACTTTGTGAGGTGGGCATGCAGCTATTTTGCATTTTGCACATAGGAAAAGTGAGGCTCCGAGGGGTGTCTGCGGCCACACGCCTGCAGCTGTTCCAACTCAAATTCACACAGCTTGCAAGCTCACATTGTATGACCCCCATATTAAACTGCTTTAGGGAAACTGTTCATTTCTTTTCAGGAGAATCTTCTGAGCTAAAAGGTTGACACACATCTCACTATGGAGGCCAGGCTGGTACGGGATAGTTGTCTGTATTCTGTCAATCATGTATTTTAATAAAACGCTGATTGGCCAGGCAGGAAGTATAGGCGGGTCAAACAGACAGGAAGTAGAGGCGGGGCAATGAGAATAGGAGAAGGCTAGGGAGGAGAAGCTCCCTACGCCATTCCTGCGCAGACCACCAAAGAGGCAGCATGTAACTTGCCCAGCTGAGAAAGGTACTGAGCCGTGTGGCTAACATAGATAATGATAATGGATTAATATAAGTTACAAGGACTAATAAGAAGCCTGACCTAATGGGCCAATCAGATTTATAACTTATAGAGATCTCTGTGTGGTTAATTTTCTTTGGGGCATGCCGGTTGTGGGGTACTGGGCGGGACAGATACCCCAACAAGCCGGCCCTCATGTTACACCAGGCTGGCCTCAGGCTTGCAAAACTCCCACCACCTCAGCCACCCTTGAGCTAAGATTAAAGGCAGCCTCCATGCCTAGCTCTTCTGAGAATATTCTTACTAATTCACTGATCCCAGATGCCTGCACTGGGGAACAACTCCAGAGGCCAAACTGTCAGAAGTGGCTATGTGCTACCGGAACCACCACTCAGGTTCCTGTTTGGACTCGGAGCTCCTTAGGTCGGAAGACAGAGCACCGGCAGATAATTGCAACTTTGATTTAACAAAGGAAACACTGCTCAGTTGTTGCTTGCAAACTCCAAGACTGACTCCTTGAGGCTTGGATTTCTTTCTGAGTTATGGGAAACATTCGAGAATGAAGTTGCTCGCTTGCTTTAGGGGATCTGCACCACAACCCATGACAGAGTCCTGAAAATTCACCTGGAAACCACCAAGCCCAGAGCCACAGCACACACGCTAAGACTCTTTGCTGGACCCTATGTGCTCATCTCACGCAACAGTTACTCAAAACCAAGTCTGAGTTTACACGGTAGGCTGGGGGAGCAGATACCTCCTCCTCGTTGGTAAAAGGCTCATGGTGTTTTTGTGATGCAGGTAGAAGTCTGTGGGGAGCTCCCAGAGATGAGGTTTCCCTTCTGTGGGGTGGAAAACGCCCAGGAAGAGATTGATGGAATCTTGTCTATCCGCATCTAAAAAGCAAAAATATGTATTTCAGAAAACCATTATTGATGCAGTCACCCCAGGAAGATATTGTCCCAGAGGACAGGGACCCAACTGTAGTTTTACAGACCAGATCTCTATGAAGACACATTTATATACTCTACACACACACACACACACACACACACACACACAGAGAGAGAGAGAGAGAGAGAGAGAGAGAGAGAGAGAGAGAGTCATCCATGTTCTGAGGAGGAGGAAAACCTTGCTTGTGAACGATGCTTCCTTTTTGCCCAATGCATCTCATGAATAGGGAAGAAGGGATATAGAGTTACACAACATTTAGAGTGGTTTTATTTTTAACACAAAAATCTATCATCAGCATTTGCTAACTTGTCTCAAGTAAACACCATACTTTGTTCTAAAGACAGAATGACCCAGTTCCTATAGAAATCCTGCTGCATGACCTTGATCGAATCAGCTGCAGAGTTCCCTCTTTGATCCCTTCTTCAACAGAGGCACTGTTCACGGCATTTCTGCCCCTCAGCTGGAAAGCTGGCCTTTGAGGTGACAAAGAAGACAGCGAGGGTGCATGAATAGAGTCCTCATGCTAACTCTTCAACCACCCCAACACTGTCCTCCCGCACCTGCCATCACCTGACAACCTAACGGGCACATGTCCCGTGTCCCTTTCCTCGCTATGTTTTGTAGCAAACAGTCACCTTGAAGTGTTCACGGTGTCCACCTGTCCCAGTCTACACACTCTCCTCCCTGCTCCCTCTGTCACTCCCCCGCAGTTCCTTCTCCCCACTCTGGTCTCAGAGGCCTCGATACTCAAGTGTTTCACAGACAGAACGACCTCTTTCTGAAACAGTGGAGGATGAAGAGGAAGCACAGGAGAAACGCCTGCCGTGGGGCTGATAACATCAAATGTGTTTGCTTCCCGCAGTTACAGCAAATGCGTACATCTGAAATTATTGCTGGGTTATCTTGACATTTTAGCAAAAACAAATGAAATATCAGATATGTATGCCTATTATTAGTATCTTAACAGGAAGCAATCTATTAAAACAGCACTTGCCTTTCAGGCTAAATGTAATAAATAAAAGGAATGTGCTTATATGCTGAGTATCTTTGGGTCTTTCATCCTACTTGCTGAGAGAAAATGCATAGTAGATGATACAGATATCATAACCCCAATTTTTATCTCTTTACACAGCACCAAAGTAAACATCCTGCTCTCAGAGTAAATTATCCTCTATGCTTCTTGAACAGACTTGATGGCACTTGATAATTCATTTCATACAGTACTCCAGAATATCTCACTACTATCTAATGCAACTTTCCACTTTCAGCCATGCTTTCAAAGAATTTCTGTCACCTTTTAAATCTAACAGCATCTTCCTTAAAATTTTAACAAGCATGGCAAACACAGAGAAGGAGTTATTGAAGCCACTGCTGCTGGTACAACAGGAAATCTCTCTATGGTGGCACAGTCCCCTAAGTTTGGGCTAAAAGGCCACTCTAAAAAGCCTGGATATTGGTTGGATACTTCTTTTTTTTAACACTTATTTACCTTATGCTTGTGGATGTTTTGTCTTCATGTACACCTGCAAATCAGAAGAGGGCATCAAATCCCATGATTCCACAGCTACAGATGGTTGTACACTGCCATCTGGGATACAGCTATAGACAGTTGTACACTGCCATCTGGAATACAGCTACAGACGGTTGTACACTGCCATCTGGGATACAGCTATAGACGGTTGTACACTGCCATATGGGCTACAGCTATAGATGGTTGTACACTGCCATATGGGCTACAGTTATAGATGGTTGTACACTGCCATCTGGAATACAGCTATAGACGGTTGTACACTGCCATCTGGGATACAGCTATAGACGGTTGTACACTGCTATCTGGGATACAGCTATAGACGGTTGTACAATGCCATCTGGGTGCTGGAATTGAACTCTGAAGAGTTCTTAACCACTGAGCCATCTCTCCAGCCCAAGCCTCCTCCCCTACCCCACTGGTTTTTGAGACAGGGCTTCTCTGTGTAGCCTTGGCTATCCTGGAACTAGTTCTATAGACCATGCTGGCCTCAAACTCAGAGATCTGCCTGTCTCTGTCTCCCAAGTGCTGGGATTAAGGGCATGAGCCACCATGCCTGGCCTAACTAAAAACTTCCAACTACAAAATAAACTAGTCTTTTCCTGCAAGATGGTAGCACTTTGGGTATGATCAAGTGTTCAACAGAGGTTAGTCCTCTGCAGTGCAGCTAGCATGTGGGCAATGGATACCTGCTTGCATACTCAATTAGGCTTAAAAACCAGAAATTCCTATAAATCCTTCAAATGCTATTTAAGCTATTATACTAACCAGTTCTATTACTAATTATAATGCAATGACACAGGACTGAACATAATATTTTTTAATTAATTGTGGCTGGAGGAGGTCTCTGGGCGGGTGGGGGAGGGGGGACATGTCCTGGGAACTGTCCTGCCTGGCCTCTCCCATACTCCTCTCTGCTTAGGTAGGAAAGCTCCTTCAGCAATTCAGGGCCTGCCACAGTGACACTCAGCCCAAACACACAAGGCTAACCATGGACAAACTCTACAAATACGTGGACTAAAACCAGTCCTCCTCCTCACGGTTTAGGTGACATATTTTGTCACACCTATGAGACAAGTACATTACGGCCATGAAAGACATGTCTACCTTCTGACCCAGGAAATAGGCTTTTACATCCTACATAGGTGAAGTTAGGAGACAAGGAAAAGCCGCTGTTCAAAGACATTGCTCAGGAAGATCCCTGATGCACACTAACTAAATTGTAACACGTTCAAAGGATAAAGCAGTTACTAAACAATCACACTGCAGAAGAATAGTTAATGCCACCAAGGTTATTCACATCATCTCAAAGGGCAAGAGCAGATTATAAATCACATGCATAATAAAAGCAGAGTAATCGTGTTTGCCTAACTATGAACAAGTGGCTATCTCTGTAGGTGAGGTCATGGTTTATTTGTGAGATACTTTGTACTTTCCAAAATTAACACATTTGACTTTAATGTGACTGAAAACAAAGCATTCATTCAAGAACCTTCTGTGTCCTTTACTGGATATACAAGACTAACAAGAAGTTGGCTGCTGGAGTTGTATAATTTAGTAAGAAACTGTGTATGTGTGTGTGTGTCTGTGTGTGTGTGTCTATGTGTGTGTCTGTGTGTGTCTATGTTGTATGTGTGTGCATCTGTGTGTGCGCGTCCGTATGTGTGTCTATGCTGTATGTGTGCATCTGTGTGCATCTGTGTGTGTGTGCGTCTATGTGTGTGTGTGTGCATGCGCATGCGAATGTGAAGGAAAAGTATTTTCAGAAGATGTAAATTCAGTGTAGAATATGCCAGTGATGGGAGGAGACAGGGACAGGGATTGGGCAGTTAGGGAAAAGGCAGGAGGCTAACAAGCCAACTGTAAGGCCATGACGGATGTGGTCCACAGACCCCAGAGGGCTAGGCCCTGCCCAGGCAGGACTAAGAACTGCAGAGGCCTGAGGACAAACAAGCTGAGCAAAACCAGAACAGGGAGGTGCAGAGCGGTGGCAACGGAAAGAGCCCAGGGCCACCGACAGACGGCCACAGCCACCCAGGACCACGACAGAAGGCCACAGCCACCCAGGACCACGACAGACGGCCACAGCCACCCAGGACCACAACAGATGGCCACAGCCACCCAGGACCACGACAGATGGCCACAGTCCAGGTGGCTGCTACAGGTCATGGGGAGAAATCTGATTTTAAATGTAATGGAAATCCCTGGAAGAGGTGGTTTTGTTGTTGTTTGCTTGTTTTAATGAGGGGAGGGATGAGCTCTGACTTAACTTTTAAAAACACACATCACGTTAGCTACGATGAGGCTGAGAGAGGAGACTTAAAGACGAGTCAGGAGCCAGGGCAGCTGTTGAGAGCGCTGTCACATGGGCTCTGCTGGGGAGAGGGCTGGGGTGCAGTTCAGTGGTGAAGTACTTGTCTGCGTTTGATCCCCAGCACTGTGGAAGGAGGGGAGGGGAGAGCAGAGGAGGGAAAGACTTCATTTGCATTTTGGAGGAAGCACCAACAAGGTTTGTTCACATAGGAGACTGCGGGTAAGGACGGCTGATAAGGGAACTAAAGGACCCAAGGATGACTCTTATGTTTCTGAATTAAATGGCAGGTTTCAGGTGGAAAAAATAAGTAGGGAAACAGGTTAAAGATAATTAAAAGTTTCTGTCTCAGAAATAGTAATATTGAGGGGAGTGTGTGTGTGTGTGTGTGTGAGAGAGAGAGAGAGAGAGAGAGAGAGATTTGGGAGTCAAATCCAGGGCCTTACACGTGCTGGACAAGTGCTCTACCACTAGATCAAATCTCTAGCTCACTATGAAGCTTAAGCTGACTTTGAGCTTGCTGTGCGGCCCAGCCTGACCCTGAACTCATTCTGCCTCAGCATCCCAAGTGCTGTGATTACAGCATATCTCACCAAGCACAGTCTCAGTGGCAATATATGGGAGGAAGAGAATAATCTGGACAGAACTCCTCTGTTCCCTAGTGGCACACCCACGAATATTTCACACTGCACTGTAAAAAGGCATTTCGCAAATAATTGATTAATAACAACTTCAAGACAACAGGGAAATTATTTTGGATTATCTGTAACCATGTGAATCCTTTAAAGGCAGAAGAGGATGGCAGAGGAGATGGTATGGAGATTTAAAACACCAAACAGGTTCAGCGGGCCAGTGAGGGCTATCAAACTGAACCAGTCATGAGTCAATGAATACCTCTAGGTCCAGAGCCAGCAGCCGTGGGAGCACTGGACCACAATGCCATCAACCAGAAAGAGCCAGCAAGCCTCTAGATAACATCTCAGGGTAACTGACATGCTGACTTTATTTTTATTTCAGTCTTTTCAGGAGAGAACACGGGTTGAGTAATGCTGCGGTTAGTTCCTATGGAAAAGGAATACAGCATTCAACAGGAAGGTTGAATACATTTGGATGTGTCTGACTGTCAGATGGATGAGGATGCCCTGAGGGTAAAAGTGCAGGAAGAGCAGACAGAATGGAGAAGGCTCAGAAAGGGAGTCAAAGTCAGCAGCTGAGGCTGAGGGTTACAGAGGAGAAGACAGGCATGGGGCATTCGTCCCGGAGAACTGCAGAATGGACAGACTAGAGGGTGTCCTAAGGCTGTCGAGTTGTCTGCCCTGTGCTCTGTAACAACTCAGACATCTCTGCCTGTCATGTTCCACTGCTCTGCTGTTGGGGCGTGAAGAGACTCACCTTTCCTAGCTATCAGTCCCATTCTAAACACTGTGAGAACATTTCTGCAATTGTTTTTTTTCTACTATAGCCAAACAGAATTTTCTTACTAAAATCTGTGACCCTGACTAGGACCTCAGCTGGCCATCTCCCTATTTGTGATAGGTGGCAATGTTCTCTGCACATTCCCTTGCATGTCCCTTGCATGCCCCTCCTGCAGAGCACCTCCTGGCGCTGGGGACATCAGCTCAGTGCCGCCTTGGTACTCGCCTCTCTCCCTGCACATGAGCACGGCAGTCTTCACTTTGTGAGCTTGCATTTAACTTTTTGAAATCTGTCTGAAGAAGACAAGTTCCACTTCTAGCACTCACTACATTTAAATTATACATATGCATGGTGTGTGTTTGTGTGTGTTCTATTAACTCTAGCAGAAAGTCTATTTTTTCTTATAATAAGGTTTAAAATCAAGATGCTTAAGTAAAAAAATGCAGGCTTAGCAAAATTTAAATGTTACAAAAGAAACAGTTTCACAGGGAATGCAAAGTTCTTCCTAGTATCCAAGGGGAGAGCCTAGGTAACTGCTTCCGCAGTGTGGCATCATCATCTAGTTCTCCTAGAGACAGAGCCCTGAGCAAATGACTTGTGAAGCCTCTAAAACTGCTGCATGCGTGTCTGTGTGTGTGCATGCACACATGCTCTCGAGTGCATGCATTTGTAGGTGTGTGTGCATGCATGCATGCGTCTGCATGTGTGGGGGTGCATGTGCATTGTGTATTTCAAAATAGATCATTCTCTGTTGCCTAGGCTGCCTTCAAACTTATAGGTTCGAAATATCTTTCCATCTCAGCCTCCCAAGCAGCTGCGACTACACGCCTGAACAAGTATTTAACTTTAAAAAAGAGGTTTTTAAAAATGGGGCCAACAAGGGGTCTGAAGAGTTGCTTGACATCTGTCTGTACAAACTAAGGGTAAAAATCTCAACCACTTAATTTCATTAATTTAGTTTCTTAATCCTAAATTTCTTCCTGCTCAGCCCATAGGCATCACATAAAAAAACTGATTAAGTGTGGCAAAGTGGTCTTTAATGCTCAGAAGAAAATCATTCTATATGTTCATCATTATATAACAATCGGTTATGACAAAATAATGTGTACACCCCAATGACACCATGCTTCTTAAAATAAAGATGTCTGTTTCAGCCACATTATTCATAATGCCTTTCATAACAGCTCATTTTTACGTTTACGTAATTTTGCTGTACCTTTGAAACTGTACATTCCGATCTCTTGTATCATTGTCACATTTTCAACCATACCTTTCTCTTCAATCATAACTCTCTACATAACTGCACATTCATTTCTGTTTTCTACTCCTAGTGAGCAGCCTTGGCCCTCAAGTGTCAGTCTTGGTCATTGCTGCAGGGCAGTAACGACAGAAGAGGGGCAGAAGAGTAGACACTGCAGGGCAGTTCTGAACCTCCAGCATGGTGATGCACACCCGGAGGCGTCTGTACCTGTGGGCAAGGCTTACCATCGCACCCTTCTATCCTCCATACCACTTTTATGTCTTTGTAGATATAATCTAATTAAGATGTACTCATTTGGGAGTACAGCAGGTTCTAGATTCAGTGAGGCTAGTGTCCTTACAATAAAAGGAAAAGGAGACGCTGAAGAGAACACCATGAAGGCTGACCTCCACACAAGAAGTAAGGTGTGTGTGATGGAGGCAGAGACTAGAGTATCACTGCTGCTGATAGTCAACAAACACCGCGGATTGCCAGCCGCCAGCAAGGGAAGAGTCTCAGGCGGATCTCAGCAGGAACTGCCCACTGGCAGCTAGACTTCCGGTGTGCACAACTGGGAGGCAGTCAGTGTCTGCCAGGCAATAGGATGTCACTCTCACGATCATGTGACCTATGGGAGACTGTCTGCTGGCGGCCTCACTGACAGGTTCTCTCATTTGCCACTTGTGAAGCAGCAAGTGGTCCTGACCCACAGTACTGGATGCTGCCAACATTACACGAGCTTGGAGGTGGCTGCTCCCTGGCGAGGACTTCAGATGAGACAGCCTGAGTGATACCCTAACCGCAGCCTTTGAACTCTGAGCAGCACATCCTCCCCCATCCCCCACCCCCGTCGGTGCTTGGACCAATGACCCACACGCACTGTCGAAAGAATCATGTGCTCTTTTACGTCTCCAAGTTTACAGTGACCTGTTACATACAAACAGAGTCATAGCTGACGTAGTTCCACTCACTCCGGGGTTTGTAAACATTGAAAGTAAATGTTGACTCTCATGGACGTTTCTGAGGCTCCTATCACTCAGGACTCCCATGCAATTCCCTTGGTACGAGCACATGCATCTCTTCAGGTAAGAGAAGGTTACTAGTTCTACCTCCTGGTCCCGGGCTGTTAGGGCCACTTGGTACTTGGTGGGGGTACTCACTGGCTAGGGCACAGACCAACTCAACGCTCATAGCTCCTTTCAAGAAGGCTACATCTGGTTAGCATCAAACCCTTGAGTTCTGTAAGGTTTACTCCCTGTATGAGAGAGTTCTCACCATACAGCACCTTCCTTGGCCACCCCTCTCCTGGAGATCTGCTGCACGGCCATCCATGGCGAACACATGGGATCTTTCCAAATGCAGGCTGCCACAACAGGCTCACCTAGAGCCTGCGGAAGCCATCCTCTCACTTCACTTGAGGTAAAGACCGGGGAGAGAGAGACAGGAAGCAGGCAGGAGCAGTCCGTTCCAAAGAACAACTTTGCCACTCCTTCCCACAGTCTGAAAGCCGTATCCCTCTTCTGTTTGAGAGAGGAGGACTCATAGGATCAACCGTTGGGTTCATCCTGGATGAATTCTGCATATAGGAATCTGCCTCACAATCACTTCTGTGTGTGATACACATTATGTATACTGACATATTGACAATGGCACCAGAATGGAGCAAGGGAAAGGACCACAGGAATAACCTGTTTGAAGTAACACTTGTCGGTCATGAGAGTATGTCATCATTCATTTCTAGTTGACACCTCTGAGTAACACGTTTATAAACAACTATCAAGATGTTAACCCATTTGAAAAAATATTCAATACTTTCAGATTTCTACATTTAGAAATACTGAAGGAGAAAAACACAAACAAAAGACGGCAAGAACTCCACCCCCGTCCTGTCACATAAGAACAGTGACTACGAGGGGCAGAATGCAGCATGTGCTGTTTTAAAATACCAGTTTTGCGGACAGTAACCCTGTCGGCAGAGCGCTTGCCTGGTATGTGCCTAGTGTGCTCAAATACTTGTGTTTAATCCCCAGAATCACAAAAGTCCGGTGTAGCGAGGTCCCCTGTCACCCCATCCAGCATTCAAGTAGATCAAAGGTGCAAGGTCATCCCCTGCCAGTTGGCAAGTGTGGGCCAGCCTGGGGTACACGAGACTCAGGTTCAAAAAGGTTTTAATATTTATTTATTTATCTATTGAACAAATAGAGGATCTTCGAAATCACAAATTCTATTTTATTTAAATTTATAAATATAATCCTTATTGAAATAAATAGCTAAAAGGAAAAAAGTGTGTACAAGAAGACAAACACACCTAAAATTTGAGTGGAGATGCTGCTGCCTGAGAGTTACCTGAAAAGGCGTTGCTGTAGTATCGGGACAGCGTCTGCATGATGTCTTTGGAGTGCTGGGTCCACGGTGCGATCTTCCTGTAGGTTTTTACCCGGTGGACGAGCTGAGAGCCTCCATATTGCAGAGACAGGGTATCTCCGTGATCTTCATAGAGTTCCTCGAATAACCTGCACAGAAGGAAGACTCACATTCTACAATCTTGTCATCTGGGGATCCGGTCTACAATCCCAGCTTCCAAGGAGGCTGAGGCAGGACTGCCTGGGCTGAGAAAGCTCGTGAGACCTTGTCCCAGAATGGAAACTGAGGAGAGGGACTGGGTAGAGCTCAGTGGTAGAGAATTGGCTTAGCACGTGCAATGCCTTTCAGTCCCCATTATAGGGGGAAACTTAACCTAAATGAGTGTACAAACCATTCACCAGGTCAGACCTGGAAAAAAGAGTCTTTTACCAAAGAACTCTTCTGGATCTTTCAAGTGGGCTCTTGAACATTTTGAAAATAAGTGCAAATGTAAATCACACGATGTTTTATAGCAATTTAACGCCAAGGGCACAGAAACTCTTAACAAGAAAACAAGACACTATTTGCCAGATTAATTCACTTCCTCAACACTGTTTTAGTCCCTCTGAATTGGTGTGTGTGTGTGTGTGTGTGCATGCATGTGTGTGTGCATGTAGTCTTATTATAGACAGTACCTTGCTCTCAAGGTGACTTACAGACAATATTCACTTCTCATAGTCCCAGGGGCTGCAGCATCTAAGATAAAGGCATCAGCAGATTCACCGCCTCGCAAAGGCCCATTTCCTTCATGAGTGGTGCCTTCTTGTTTTAACCTCACATGAGGAAGAGACTAATACACATGACCTGATCACTTTTCACACACCACTAATCCCAATGCTGAGGGCTCTGCCCTTAGATATAAGCAAGTCACAAAGATCCCATCCTCTAATGCCATTGCTTGGGGGTGAGGACTCCATCACATGAACATCCTGGCCACAGCAGGCAGGCAAGCCATATACTTTCTGTTTTCAGAGTTGATGAACAATGAAGAAACGGTAATCCTTAGTGAAGACTCTATCTTACACACGTTGTATCTTTAGTTCACAACGTTTGTGGAACTGGTACTAAAATCATTGTCACTTGGGTTTTTATTTAACCTACTAGTTATTCTAAGCCCTTCAGATTTATTTTAAAAAACATAATGCTTAATGATAATGCAAGCAAACAAGACCAATGGAAATAATATACCAACATTTAACAGAAATATAGAACTAACTTGAATACTGCCAACTAGCAATAAGTCTTTGAGAAGCTAAAAGTAGAAATGAGTTTATAAAAATTCTTATGAGTCAAATGTGCTTCTTGTCACTGCTGACGTTCAAATGACGTTCAGCAAAAAGGATTACCTCACCGCATCCGTATCAAACTGTAGGTTAGGCTTGTCAATCAGTCCTAAGGAGTACAGTTGGTAAGCCAGAGCACACTTGCCCACCATGAACTGCGCTGTGTTGGTGCGATCTAAACAGTCCACACAGTTGGTTCGAAGAATGCCGGTCTACAAAGAACACAATAAGGTTTCAGACACCCAGACTACTTCAATCCACAGGAAACCCTGCTTGTAAAGCAACAGAAGAAAAGCAATAGGTGCTAATCCCGGATAAAGAAAGTGAAGGATTTGTAAAGAAACTGTACTTTCATTTCCCAGATATCCAGACACGAATAATCACACAAAAACTATATTAATTACAACATTGCTTGGCCAATGGCTTAGGCATATTCCTAACTAGCCCTTACATCTTAAATGAACCCATTTCTATTATTTTATATTTTACCACGAGGCTCATGGTTACCTCACATCTTGCTTCTTGGGCAGCTACATGGAGACTACCTGACTCTGCCTTCTTTCTCTCTGCATGCAGTTTAGTTTTCCCACCTACCTATATTCTGTCCTGACATAGGCCAAAGCAGCTTCTTTATTAACCAATGGTTATAAAACATATTCATAGCATGCAGAGGGGAATTTCACATCAGTTAGGGGTTAAAAAAATAAAGAACATTTTGTTAACCATATAAAGTTATATTTACTGTTCACTTAATGTCACCATAATAGCATTGTTAAATCCAGTCTATATTTTAATTTATTTTGAAGGCTTAACAAGATAAAGCAAACAGCTAATATTTTCTGTATTTACTAATTAGTGAAATATGAACTTTTATCTGATATTGTTCAAACCAAATATTATACAAACCAAATATTCAGTAGTTAAAGATGTATTTTTCTAAGGTTTTGTGTGTGTGTGTGTGTGTGTGTGTGCTGGTGCCCTCAGAGGCCAAAAGATGGCACCAGTTCCCTGGAGCTAGAGTTACTGGTACCTGCAATCCATCTCACAGAAGTGTGGGAGGGGTAAGAGCTGGGAAGCAAACTTGGGTCTTTCGGAAGAGCAGGAGGTGCTCTCAACCACAAAACCATCCTGTCTCAAGCACATCATTCTTAATGCATAGCTAATAAATACAACACACACTAGATCATTTTCCAAAGTCGCCCTAACCTATTCTATATTCTAACCTATCTCCATATTCTTGCTTTTAATTTCCAGTAACAAAAACTCTTATGTAGAGAAATGTAAAAGCTATAATATCAGCTATACATCTTTGTATAAGATTTAAACAAGCAGGGAGGCTTTTAAAAAACCATTCTCAAGCTATTAATAATTTTGCATCAATTACATCTTAACAGAACCTAATAGAAAATATGACAAAAAATTAGCTGGATGTGGGAGCAGATACCTGTGATCCCAGCACTTGGGAACCCAAAGCAGGTGAGTCTCTGTGAGTTCGAGGTCAGACTGATTTGCATAGTGAGTGCCAGGCTAGCCAGCAATATACTGTGAGACCCTGCCTCAAACAAAACAAAACAAAAACAAATCCAACCCCCCAAACATTACACACCATCGACACAAATTGTATTCACTATAAATATAATATCCATACCTGCAACCGACCAGTGGGAATCACACAGCCTCCAAGCTCATTCCACCTGGGTAAAAACAGACACTTGACATTTTTTCTTCCAGGGCTGGGTAAACGCAGGCCATGGGTTCCCTAAACTGTGTACTACAACTAGGCCACAAACCCAAACCTCTGCTTTTTTTGTTTGATTTTTAAAGGAATGATATATAGTCATAGATTTTAAGAGTCACAGCATTAGAAGGGAAGGTCTCTGGGCATCAGATAATTCTGCACTTGCACCTTTTCAGATGCAATAAGAAAAAAATGAGATGGGTCAGTCACTGTGTTCTACTTTTTTAAAAAAAAGCTTAAGATGGAGGCATCTTAAGTTGCCTGTGTCTCTCTTGGACACCGTCTATGTTCTACTAAGTTTCACCCTTGTTTTCCTTTCAACCCATATCTTTCTTTGGTTTCCATGACCATACACAGTTACAGCCATCTTCCTAGTGGAGCCTTCCACACTTTTTTTACACACCCTGTACATTAAGATTCCCTAAATTCAAACCCTGAAAACTATAGCAGAAAGATTCATCTAAACATAAACACATTAGGCTGATTTGGGGTTTTTCATTTGACCACTGAAGTTAACTATGTTAACTGAAAAACAAATGTTGGAAATAAATAATACTGGTTCTTTTAAAGATAAATAAGGAACAGGCCTCTCTCTGAAGCAGCCAACAAGCTAGCAGCAACAGAAGGGCTGTGAGCAAACCACCACAGCACGCTAACAAAGTCTACACTCATAACAGCATCCACTGTCAACCAGAAAGATTTCCTGTTCTTTCTAAATACTAAACAATGAATTTGCTACAGAAAAACTTACATTGCACACACACACGTTTTATATAATGGTTATTCCACAGAGCAAATGCTAAGGCTCCTGAGGCTTCCATCTGAAGGTATGTGATCACCACAGGAATTCCCAAGCACACAGTGACTATTCATCACGTGGTCGTGAGCAGCCTGCCTCTCCATAAGTTCATCTATCCATCCATTCTCTAATTACCATAGACTTCCTGTATTTAGAATATTTTACAAGTGTGTGTGTGTGTGTGTGTGTGTGTGTGTGTGTGTGTGTGCGCGCGCGCGCGCACGCGCTTCCTAATGCTGGAGTTCGGGCACACACAGCCACGCCCAGCTTTTCACACGGCTGCTGACAATTCATGCTCAGGTCCTCATGCTTTTGAGGCAAGTGCTATCACTAAGTCCTCTCTCCAATCCCTAAAATATTTTGTATATTAGAAAAAATACCTCGATTTAAGTTTCCTTTGCATATGTGGTGTGGAGTGTGGAACACAGTACCAGATACGAAGGTCAAGGGACAGCAGGTGGAGTCATTTTTCTCCTTCTAACCCCTGGGTCCCAAGGGCTCAGACTTGGTGGGAGGAGCCTCTACCTGTGAGTCACTGTGCTCCCCGAGGGCTAGACTGGAATGGCCAGTGAGTCCCAGGGATCTGCCTGTCTCTGCCTCCTCCATGCTGGGACTACAAACACACACCACCACACTGACTTTCTTATGGGAGCTCTAGGGACTGAACTTGGGTCCTCGGCTTGTATAGCAATCACTTCATCTCCCCATCTCTGAATTTAAGTTTTTAATGTCATACGTACTTTTCATCTGGCCGTAAAATGCTGCAGTAAGAGTCGGGGCGGTTTACGAAGAAACCTGTTTTCTTTACCACACTTTCTGCAATCACATTCAGCCGGTCGAGAACATTACACAGCTTACTGAGAGAGGAACAGTGAAAAAGTGAGAACTCAGACGCTGTTCACTCTCCCTGTAAAGCAAACAACATCAACAGTACAGACGCTCGGGGATTTAACTGTCTTAATCATGTGCTTTATGTAACAGAAAGACTGAAATAATTAAGGCAGAAATATAATGTGTACCCAGTAACTAACAGTAGACCTGTAACTTAATAGCAAATACTGACACATTCCCCAGTCTTGGCACGGGACGTTCCCCTGAGAGGTTTTCAAGTCAGCCAAGCCACCACCTAATCTGGCACTGACCGAGCAAAGTGCAGTGTCAGGGAAAGAAAAACTGGAAAAGAAATTAATATGACAGCATCAATCACTTAACTAACATATTCCAGGTAAGTGGGGGTATGTGTGTGTGCCTGGTACATTTACTCCAAAAAACTGTTCAGGGAATAAACTTGACAAAAGCAAAATAATATAGTCATAGTAAATAAGCCCAGAATTTATATGTTGCATGTAAACAAGGCTCAAAAAAAATGGCCTCTTAGCAAGGATTAGTTTTGAGCTGAATATGAGAGAAAGGGGAGAGGAGGAAGCGTGTGACAGGGTGGTGGTGGAAGTGGTAAGAAGTTACAGGAAAATCCTGGCGTGGAACTCGCTCTAGGCACAAAGATCAGGTTTTCTCAAACAGAATAGGTCCAAATAAGTTATAACACATTGGAACCAAGCAGCTAAGGGACCTGATTAGCAGAATGAGGAGCTAGGGTTTCCTATCAACAGTTACAATAGTACATATCCATCTACAAGACAGATCCTCTGAGAGCAGTTCCTCCCTGAGGAACAAGGGAGAAGGCGAACCAATGCCTGTGAGGAACAGCAGGGAAGACACAGGAAAGAGCTGGTCACCTTGCAGAAGAGCCCAAAACTGCCTCACCTAAGCCTCAGGAAGGAAAGTGGGGGAGCTGTGTCACCAAGGAGACAGGCCTGTGCGGCAGTCTCTCTCACCTCTTGGTGTACTTGGCCATGTCCCAGGGAATGTAGACAATCGTGTGCTCTGGGGGCAGGAACTGGTTCAGGTAGGTGACGGCGGCCACCAGCTCTTCACTCAGAATCCTCTCATGCTTTCTCTTCTCTCGTTCCTTTAGTAAAAACGTTTGAAATAATTTTTAAGTTTAAGTCTGAAATGTGGGGCTGGAGAGATGGTCGGTGGGTAAGGGCGTCTGTTGCTCCTGGACAGGAACCAGGTTTGATTCCCAGCACCCACACGACGATTTACAACCATCTAGAACTCCAGTGCCAGGGGAATCTGATGCCCTCTTCTGACCTCAGTGGGCACTAAATATGCACACAGTGACATACATGCATGTAAAACACACCTAAAATAAAACCAATAAATCTACTTTTAAAAATCGTAAATGTCTGAGTACAATTATCTTAAAACAAGTTTAAGGTAGACCATAGCTTTGTAGCTCATACCTCACCTTAGTAAGAAAAGCCCGGGTCTTAAATGCTGAAGTGACACCCAGTTACTAAATAAAAATATACATGAGAATTAAGAGATCTTCACTGAGCGAGTCAGCAGCTCTGACGAGCCGGGGTGGCTGGGTTTTCCCTGCTGATCTCCTGCAGCCATGTGTAGCACACAAGCCTGGCCCACACATCCATAGCCTGCTTGGGTAGCAATGCTCGCTTGGCAGGGAGGAGATGAGAACCCAGTGTGCGCTATACAAGCCCAGCCCACAGCGGCAGCCAGGGGTGCAGAGAGAAAACGGGATGCTCTGGAGGGGCCAGCCCTACACAGAGGACCACAGCAGAGCGTGCTTTCGAAACCAACACGCGAAACCTCGAGGAGGCAAGTCGGGAACATTATCCCCTTCACACTATGGTCGCACTGAAAGGCTGGAAGGCATGCATGGCCCGAGCCTTACCTCTGCTCCCAGTTACCCTGTGGTGAGCCTCTCCCTTGGTGGGCCCTTCCTCTCTGGAGCCCTCTGACACTCAGGTCGACTTGTACCTGGGACATTTCTATGAGGTTAAGAGTTCAGCCACCCTGAGGTGCCTCCCTGCCTGCCGCATCTCTCGGGTTACCACACTGCCTCTCACTGAAGAAGGCCATGCTGCTGTGTGGCCCTGCACTGCTGCACTTGGACCTCTGGCAAGGCTGTCGGTTTTCCTTGGGCAGCAGCAGTGTCTTCCCCACAGCACTGATGTGGGGTTTAAATGAGACAAAAGCAGGGGGAGCTCTTACCACAGCCTTCAGGAAAAGTTAGCTACGTGTACCATTACTTTGATCAGGCCTTTCCTTAGAAACAAAGAAAAACTGCAACAGAGACATCAACGATGTCGCAGCAACACTGCTGGCACCATAATGTTGGTGCTGTTTTCAATCATGGTGATTATTTTCAGTCATCACGAACTGAATTAACAACTACTGTAGAAACAATCAAGGGTATATTTGCACAGTAGAATAAAACAAATAGAGAAATTACATAAGAATTAAGAATCAGGTGAAAGTATACTTTGCTTGTATTTTATCTGGGAAAGTTATTTATTTGGAATTCTCAAAAGTTCTTTAAATTAAATAGGGAAGTAGCGCCTTTCTGAAATTCTCGTGTGAAATCAGCCTGCATGGCTATAGAGTCTGCTGTCCGCAGTGTGTACCGGGTTAGTGCTCATAGGCTGCTCAGTCAGTCTTCTTGGGGCTGCTGAACCCCTTCACAAACCAATGCAAACGCCCAGATACAAGTCAACCTGTATATCAGAGGGCCCCACAGAGGGAGAGGCTCACAACAGGGCAAATGGGAACAGGAACCAGAAGAGCTTCCTCCTTGTTGTTATCTTACGGACATGGGCATCCTATGGTCATGGTCATCCTATGGACACGGGGATCCTATAAACATAATCATCCCATGGACAGGAACATCCTATGGACATCCTATGGACACAGGCATCCTATAGATATAATCATCCTATGGACACAGTAATCCTATAGACATGGTCATCCTATGGACACAATAATCCTATAGACACGGTCATCCTATGGACACAGGCATCCTGTGGGCATGGACATTCTATGGACATGGGCATTCTTTGACGGTTTACCCACAACTTTCTAAGACCTTCTTCCAAGTGAAAACAAGAGGCATTTTCTTTTTCCTATGAACAAAACAACTGATGACAGGGATAGGGATGTAGCTCGATGGCTGGGCTCTTAGCAGGCCTATGCGAGGTCCTAGGCCTCGTAAATAAATGTTCTCTTTTGCAAAACTCCTTTCAAACTACATTGGCTACAGGGAGGCGAAACAGGCCTCGTTCAGCCACAGGCATAGTTTTCAGCCACATGAATTAAATAGCACTTTTAATGTGTATAATTAACAGGGACTTCCGAGCACTATAGGCTCGGGGTTCTTTTTAACTAGGCCCTTTCAACTGCACTCTATAAAGCATGAACAAGATCCACTCAGCTAGTTCTAGTGTATGTTCCAGTAATAGCTCATCACTTACTGCTTTAACAGCAATTTGCTTCTATACTAATAATATATACTTACGGGAAAAGCACTCATAATTATCACAATCTTCTGCAGTACCAGGAACTGAATCAGAAGAGTTGTACCACTGCGCAGCACCTACTCCTGCCCTCTTTTTATTTCGGGACAGGGTCTCCCTAAATTGCTCAGGCTGGGCTGAAATTCACTCTGTAGCTAGGTACGGGCCTTAAACTTGTGATCCCCTGCCTCTGCTGCTTGAGCGGCTGGGACCATAGGCCTTTGCGGCCAACCCTAGCGGCAAGTCAACAGTGTTTCCACTGAAGTTTTCCACCTAAATTTTCAACTGAGTCTATTATGTATCCATATTAAGTCAGAGTTGTAGATTATCAGCCCAGCTTACGTTACTCCGAGCAGACCGGAGCGAGTTTCTGCATTAATGTGAACAAATACGCGCAGACATTATGATCATCTTCACAAGGGTCATGATGTCAATCACAGAAACCGAAAGACAGGACACTGAGTGCCTCTGCCCCTGCCACTTTGGGACCACATATTCTTCCATGCTCTCGATGAAGCACACATACCACACACACTGTTCCCCTGAGCCATGTATTTAGCAGTACTGCACAGGCCCCTCCTAGGTAAGCACCCACCTCCTCCCGGTGCCCGGCCTTTCTGTGTTACCTTCAATACCTCCAGATCCTGCTGTACTCTGGTTCGGCCCCCATTCCCAACCTCCACCTCAGGTGATCACAGGGAGATGCTCTGCCTTCAGCATTTCCCATCCAGAACCGCCTTTATTTTCAGATTGCTTTGACTTTGAATGCGCCACCTCACAACTGTGCCAAGCCAACAACTGCTCTACTCTCTCCAAAAGTCCTTCCCCCCTCTCTCTTTCTCCTCAGCCCACTCAGCTTTCATTGTCCACAGCAACCACACTATTGCCAATATCCAAAATGCACTTGACACTGTCTTTCTTAGGTATCTGTCTGGTAAAACTAAATGAAGCCAATCATCTCTCTTTGATCTGTGCTTGTATGCCCATGCAGGCCTGCTGGGAAGAGGCAGCAGTAGCAGAATGGTGCCATTTAAGAACCCACTTCTATCGAGTGGAAACTGACTCTTGTCTGGATGGTCCCTGTCAAGTTCACTTTCTGCTGCTGTGAAAGCCCCCACTTTAAGCAGGTGACTTTTATTCCTACCCTAAAGAAAATTGAAGCTGTCATAAAGGAGCACATGTATGCTACACACACACACACACACACACACACAAAATCAGGGCACTGCCTTTTCTTCAGATTGAACACTCCTCCTCTCTTCTTGATTGGCAGCTCTGCTTTAGTTCAACACTGCCTCCCTCACACTGGTAGCTCCATGAAGGCAGGAATTGTTTGTATAATTTCCTTGATACATATAAAAGTGTCAAAAATACCAGATTAATAATTAAATGGACAAGGATTCTTTGGGGTTTTTATTGTTGTTGTTTTTATTTTTTAATACTTCTATGTTGCTGGTCACTGCCACAGACATAATGTAATGAAACCTTTCATTGGTATTCTCAAGGTCTTCTTAGCCACTGGCTGAGGTTCTTTCAATTCACTTGGGTGTAATAGAGTTAGATAAATTTATTGAGTAATATTGCCCATTATGCACTCACAGTGTGTGAACCAGTCATGGTGTGTGTACTCTGAGGGAGAAGCTGAGAGACATTATACCATGTTGCCTGAGCTTCTCACAGGACTTCTCATTTCTGAATGAAGCCCATTATAGGTTAAAAGGATCAGCCAAAGATCCCACCCTGACCCTGAAAGTAGAGCCAGTAAAAGAAACACACTTTGGCCCTGAAACCAGAATCAGAGAAATACCTGGGCCCTGAAACCAGAGCCAAGGAAACACACTTTGGTCCTAACCAACTGAGCACGATATCAACCAATCCTTGAAACCAGAGCCAAAGAAACACACTCTGCAACTGCGCATGAAACCAACCAATCCCTGAGCATAAAATCTAGTCAACCTCTGAGCTTGGACAAGCTCAGGGGATTGAAATCCGACCAATTCCCACCCTAAAAATCTTCTCCCTAGAAAAGCTCTGCCTCTAAGACGCCCTGTGCCTGTTCAGTTGATAGCTGCTCCGTTCCCCCCTGGCAGAGGCAGCCACCCTCTTGGATTCCTTCCTCCCAAATAAATCGCTTGAATGATTTTGGGTGAAGACCTTCTGTCGCCAAAGCATAGCAGAATCTCTGCTGGGAAACTCCCTAGTGGAGCAGAGCAGAGCAGCAATGGATACCTCTGCTGGGAAACTCTCTTAGCAGAGTGGGACAGGGCTCAGCTGTACCGACTCTCTCTCAGAGAGGAGAAGGCTTGCCACATCCTGTGGGGACACCATTCCCTACTGGAACACAGCTACAGGTACAGCCTGACTTTCCAACAGTCCAGATATCTTCCTTCTCACAGCTGTAGGTACCTAGGATAACGTCCTTTTACATCTGTAGGTATAGCCAGGGTACCTTTCCCTCCCGAGCTGTAACACTGGCACCTATTGATCCACATTGGTTTGCAGTGCTTACAGCTTACAGACTCCCAAGGGAGTGAGGTGTATCAAGGTGAGGGTGCAGCAGCTCCCTCTGTGTTCTTAAGTTGTCCTGAGACAAAGAAATTTAATGTAGACCCAGTTCACACAAAGGAATCAGGAGCCTGGTATGTAGTGAGATTTCATTTGTATTTTAATAAATAAAACTTGCCTAAAGTTCAGAGAGTAAAACAGCTGCCCTGGTCAGCCTTACAGACCAGGCAGTGGTGACACACACCTTTAATCCCTGTAGCCACACTAGTTTGCCACAGAAACCTGGCAGTAGGGGTGCACGCTTTTAATCCCAGAACTACAGGGAAACATAAAACAGGAGGAGACAGCTCTCACACATAGTCTCATTCTGAGATTCCTGGAGGCAGGGTCGCCATTTTGGACTGATGACTAGCTGTTTTGCTTTTCTGAGCTTCAGGATGAATATCAATTTCTGTCTCTGGGTTTTTATTAATTGTGCTACACTGGTAGACCAGATCACCCTCTTCCTTTAGAGTGATTATTACTGGTTCCCAGGGCAAGTCCAGAAGAAGCCACATGGGATGTGAGGCTGAAGAACATTAGCACAAACACAGCAAGCTGGCGCAGTGGACACCTCTCTGTCCCTCCCCCATCTCTGTCCTCCCCTCTTTCTCTGGGAAGGCAAAGCACAGCTGGCACGCCTTGTCTGAGAAAAGGCGGCCCGGCCCGGTATATGTGGCGAGCACATCATACCTTCACTAAATTCAAGATGATGATGGGGGAGCCAAACCTCTGAAGCATCTGGTCAAAGTGAAGAGCAGCTACATGTGCAAAGGGGTCCGCCTGGTCCACTGAGAAGAAGAAAGGTAGATAAATACCCGAATGTCACCATGAAGCGGGAAATAAAAGAAGTGTAGGGTTTCCAAAACCGTTGAAAAGAAATACAGTGCAACTAACCTAGCACCTTCATTCCCCAAATCTCCTCAAGGAGCTCACGAGACATTAACCCAGCAAGTACTTATTAAATCTGAAAGACTGTCATTTCTGAAGCAAAATAACACGCAATTCACTAATGGTTTAAATTAAGGCTGAATTCACTACAGAAAGCTAACAGAAGACACTCCTCCATATGCTTTTGCTCAAAAGACCAAGATCTCCCCCAACCCAAATACTTATTATGTGACAACGATCATCATCTTGAATGACAGCAGACAAGAGCAACTCCCAGCAGGCCGGCTTACGCACATGTAATAGGTGGTTTAGGCATCATAGTTGAGATGTCTTGGGACCAGTATAAGGGAACCGATCCTCTAACTTGTACGTAAGAAGAATAGCTGCCTGCAGTAAAGGACATCACCGAAGCATCGCAGACGAGCTGCTCGGTCTCCACTTCGTTTGCAACATCACCCTGAAGGAAGGTGCAACCAAAGACAGTTTATGCTCTCAGAACTTTTAAATGAGAAACATTCAAAACCACAATGAAATCATAACTCCTATTCTCCATGCATCTTAAAAGAGGTAAGTCACACACCATCAATATTCAGAGTATACACCGGAAAAAGCAGATTAAAACATGATAAAGAAAAAACAATTAACAACAGCAGAGAATAGACTGGAAAATAAATCAAATTAGTTACTCAACAAAAACATCAAATAATGTTTTGGCCAGTATAAATGGTAGGATGGCAAAGAAAAGAAAAACAATTATCTAAAATTATTCAGGAGATTAAAAAACGTACAAGTATCTAAGAAAATACAATTCGGATGACCAAAAGGATGTGCGCATGCACACACACAAACAAAATGCATTAGGATGATAGGGAGTTAATTTGTTAGAAGTTCACAGCTTTGCCACTCTCAGCAAAGCCGATGGAAAAGGTTAGACCATCACAGGAGTGCGGTTTGTCGTCTCTGATGGGAAAGGTTAGACCATCACAGCAGTGCGGTTTGTTGTCTCACCTCACAGTTCGCACCTCTCTTGAGAAAACGAGTCCCAGCAAACTTACTGGACCTTCTGGCTATGAGAGTCACATACACAGGTCGTCCGTAGATCAATAGCTCTTAGAAACCGAGTTAAAGCTCAGTACTTGTGGTTGGCACAGAAAGCTACAAGAATCCTTATCCCTTATGCATTTAATACACCTTGTCCAATCTTTTAAGACACTAAGAGCTCCACCAGGAATGAAATAGCAGGGCACCCAATGGTTCCTCGGATCTGTCTGGGTTTCATGGCAACACTCCATGTGCTCACGTGGTGATTTCTCTGGCTTTTCAAGAAAATACACAGGTTTCCTGCATTATGTCTCTCCTTGTAACCAAGTGATAATGTAAGAAGTACAGCCAGTCCTTCCTCACTCATTAACATCACATGCCTCTTCCAAGGGCATGTGCCATTTAAAGCTAAGTGTAAATTAGGAAAAAGCTGTTAATACTAAGGAAAGGAGTGATATAATACTGCAAAAGCAACCCAAAGCCTAAACACTCAATGTGTCACCATGAACTGTTTCATCAATTTACAGCATCTTGTTTAAGTCATTTAACTTTCTGAGTTATAATCTCATCTACAGAAAAATGAATAGAAAAACAGCTACAGGTTGAGCAACTGTAGTCCAAAAAATAAAAAAAATGCCTTGAAATCAGAAGTTTTTTAGTGCCATTATGACCCCAAATTATAAATTCTATACCTGACCTTGTGTTATGGGCCAATCAAAACATAGGCATTCTAAAAATATCGCATAAATATCTTCAGTCCTGATGTTCAAGATGTATATGAAACATAAATTAACTTCAAGTCCATGCTCAGGTTATCTAAGATTTGGGCAAATACTCCAAAATCAAAAACATTCAAACTCTGAAACACTTCTGGCCGAAAGCATTCTGGCTAAGAGTCACCAGCTGCACCGCTGCTGGCTGCTGGAGGATGAGCTGGGGTGACTGCTGTAGAATTTCTGCTGTCTGGCCTGCAGTAAATGCTTACTAGACAGCAATTACTCCCACACTACATGGGCTTCCAGAATTCATTAGATGACTGATCACCAACAGCCCGGGCTCATCATTTAAACTAATGAGCTTTAAAATGATAATCTAATGATGCTGTTTACTATTTTAAAAACACACATTTATTATAATTATCATATGTCGGGCCCTGAGCTAGTCTTGCAAATAGAAGTCAGGCTAGAACTACCCTTCAGAAATGGTCTTAGACACCATAGCACATTCTCTTTGGTATCTTTGTGGTAAAGCATTCACATTCTTCTCAGAAGACTGGAGTTTGGGGAAGAAACATAAGTGATTCAGGACCTAATTTTGCCAGGTGCTTAAGTGATCATAAAGTGAGCCAGGATCTCCCCCAGCGCTGTGTCTGCCATGCCCAGCCTCTCCTATCCTCCACTTGGTACAGAAGCAGCAGCATTGTCTTCAAGACTGTGTCCCTCGGCTGCCGCCCCAAACACTCCAGAGAGTGTAAGACGATACAACCATGGCCCCATCACCCACTCAATGGCCTCAAAAACCATTCCTTTAATGATTTTACTGTAGATTTCCGAAAGCCCAACAGAATTTACAAATGCCTCTGATGTCTCTAAAGGTAGCAAGATAAGCCAACCACTGCTGGATAGTTTGTCCTGCCCTCTTCCTCCTCCTCACAACACAAAGGCAGGATCAACTCCGTCCGTCACATTCCTGCCCAAAGCAGGGCTCCACCTCGTCAGGCCTCAACCACTACTGCAGTCTTTTCTTGTACATATCTCTCATCCCATTTTTACTTCATGCAGCTGGACAATGGCCATCAACTCAAGCTTCAGGGGCTACTTTATACATGTCACCTTCCTGAACTAACCTCTCAAGAACTCTGGGACCGAACTTCAAATCCTTAGCCTGACAGAGGCAATCTGGTGAGTCCCACACTTACCTTGTCCATGTCATCTGTGGTAGTTTGGAAGAAAATGGCCCCCATAGGAGCTATTAGGAGATGTGGCTTTGTTGGAGTAGGTGTGGCCTGGTTGGAGGAAGTGTGTCACTGTGGGGGTGGACTTGGAGGGCTTCTATGCTCAAACTATACCTAATGAGACAGTTTACTTACTGTTGTCTGCAGGTCAAGATGTAGAATTCTCAGCTCCTTGTCTAGTATTGTGTCTGCCTGCATGCCCCCAGTTCTGCCATGATGATAATGGACCAAATCTCTGAAACTGTAAGTCACCCCAATCAAATTTTCTCCTTTATAAAGAGTTACTATGGTCACAGTGTTTCTTCAGAGCCACAGGAACCCCAATTAAGTCACATCCCATCACCCTGAAGTTGTACACACATCACAAGAAAACAGCTATCTTTCCAGGTCTTGTGGTGCTTGTCCAACCTGTGACCTCTCTCTGCTAGGGCCTGAATGATGCTGATGCTTTGGTCAACGTCTGTTCTCATGAGCCTGCCATGTTCTCGCCACCTATCAGGCACTCCATTCCTTCTCCCAGGCGCGCACAGTCCTCGTTGGCTACAGTAAGGGTACTAAGCACATGGCTCTTTCATCCTTGGTATTTATAGTATTTCTGTGCCCCTAAAAGGTCGGAGTGTGCACTCTTCATTGCATTTCTACTTACATGGCTAAGTTCTCCTGTAGGAGTGTCATACTGGCTAGTTTTTTATGTCAACTTGACACAGGCTGGAGTCTTTCAAGAGATGAGAACCTTAATTAAAAATGCCTTGATTAGACTGGGCTTCAGGAAGGCCAGTCAGGGATTTTCTAAACTGGTGACTGACGGGGAGGGCCCAGTCCATTGTGAGTGGGACCACATCTGGGCTGGTGGTCCTGGGTCCTATAAGAAAGCAGGCTGAGGAAGCCACGAAGGTCAACGCAAAGTAGCAACTCTCCATGCCTCCGCATCAGCACCTGCCTTCAGATTCCTGTGCGCTTGGGTTCCTGCCCTGACTTCCTTCCATGATGAGCAGATGTAGAAGCATAAGCCAGATAAACCCTTTCCTCGCTAAGTTTGGCCATGGGTTTATGTGCTATCACAGCAGTAGGAACCCTAACCAGGGCAGGTACAGAGTGAGAATTGCAATCTTACAGTGTAGACCTTTCTACACACTGGCATGGCATAATACATGCATCTTTAAGTGTTTATGAAAAGGATACTTGATTGCCCACAGAACCCATGAATAATATACAGCAGCCAGTCGCGATGCACAGTGCTTTTGATTATATCCAGAAGTTCACCGTTCCATACATACTTCATGTAAGGCTCACTGGAGATCCCAAACACGCCTGAAAAACAAGAGTTGGCAACAGAAACATAAAGACATTGACTGACATCAGCATATTTTAACTTCTGTTTTTAATGTCAGAATACAAGCCTGGATACACCGCCACTTTCCAGGGCAATCCAAAGACCGTCAGCACTCCGGGCACTGTGCTGTTTCCTTCGAAGTTGAACAAGAAGTGAGATTTCTGACTTATCAAAGTTTTTAACTCCAAAGAAAATGAGAACTGCAATGCAGGATTTAGGGTAAGGGGTACACTGTGCACGTGATGGGCTTAGGGTAAGGGGGTGCACTGTTCATATTTCCTGTGTGGCATTAGTTATTACATCAAGGCTTTTTCGTGTATCACCAAACACTGTCATATCAAGATGAATTTATTATTAAATAGCGATGAGTGTCACAGAACTTATATGAAGTGAAAAATAAGAAATAAGCATATTTATATAGGTGGATTAAATACTCTAGATGCTGGCAGTCAGGTAACCTTATCTTCTTCCCTTCAAAGTGTCATCTGGGTATTTATTTAGGTTGAATATATTCCAATTTAATTTATAAAAACTAAGGGCTGAACAAATGGCTCAGCAGTTAAAAGCACTTGCAAAGGACCCAGGTTTGAGTCCTGGCACCCATATGGCAGTTCACAGTGATCTGTAACTCCAGTTTCAGGAGATCTAATGTCCTCTTCTGACCTCCATGGACAGCAAGCACATACATGGCTCACAGACATACCACATACAAACATGGAACAGTCAAATCTAGATGTCCTCTGCCCTTTCAGTGCATCATATAGGAGACTGTGTATGGATTCAGATGTAGCTCACTGGTAGCATGCTTGCCTTGCATACATTAGGCCCTGGGTTCAATCCCAAGCACAACATAAACCAGGCATGATGGGACGTCTCTGACCCATGCCTCTAATTTCAGTTCTGGGGGAGGAGAAAACAGGAGGGGGAAATCAAGCTCATCCTCAGCTCTACAAGTCTGTGGCCAGCCTGGGCTACAGGAGACCCTGCAAGAAAGGAGCGATCAGAGCATGCCCAAAGGTTGGGGGTACAGTGTTGTATCGGACAATCTCCCACTCTGCCACTTTAAACCAGTGACTTAGTATTGAAATGGCTAAGGTGACGCCATCTTGTTGTGACTTTGTTTAGTGTCTTCCTAGGCCCTCCCCAGCCTTCTCCACCTGCCAGTGATATGCACCTCGGCAATGCTTCTGGGACTGTCCATGCCCTGACCATAGTGCAGATGTATTAGCCAGAATAAGTGATGCTCGTGCAGGCTAAAACAGAAAACTAAAGAACTAAGAGGAAGCACAAATCAAAAGTAATGGGTGCATGGTGTCTGGAAAACACTGCTAGCCCTGCTCTGGCCCCCGCAGGCACTGACTCAGCTGGGCTTTTTGTCTTTGCAGGTGCTATATCCCTGGGCTCCAGCACCAAAAGGCTTTTCAGAGGCACGAGATTCCTCTCTTGGTCACCTCCTAACAAAACGACTTAAATACTTGTAGTTGGCTGATTAGTGTGTTTGCCAATAACTAACTCTTGTGGGACACGGCAGTATCTCCACAGCCTGTAAACAGGAAATGCTCCCGCTCATCTCAGAGATGTTTGGACTGAAGAGCTTACCTGAATCCTTAACGCACTTCCTGGTACACCAGAGAGGTCGTGGAGATTTGGCAATTTTACTCTTCTACTGTCTTCCACCCACACTCCCAATTTCCCACCAGTTTCCCCAGACGAATAATTGTGAAGCCCAGGAAAGACAGCTGAATCCTAACTGCCAGCACTTGGTAATATGTTACACCAATGACAAGGAGACACAGAAGTAGACGGGATCGAGGGCACTAATCCGATGACTTGAGCCATGGAGATTGATGTGGCTCATGCACACGACCCAGTATAATCCCGGGTTCTTACAGCTGAACAGGGAAGTCACTGCGTGAGCTTTGGGTGACCCAATGTGTGAAGAACAATTCACCAGTCACTGCTGGCTTCCAGATGGAAAGTCACCAGCGAGCAACAGGGAACATCCCTAGGCGACCAAAGGACAAGAATTGGTTTCTGTTCTTAAACTGAGAAGAGAATGTAGCTTCTGGTAGCATGTTTGTCTCCTTAAGTCCTGCTCTGGACTTTCTCCTGGGAGACGGTGTGTGGTGTGTGTGTGCTGTGACATCACCTAGGGTTGGTCTACAGCAGCAATAAGAAGGCAACAGCTCTTCAGTCACAGCTACCCAGAACTGCTCGAGACACGCAAAAGTCACGTCAGAGGCCTACTCCAGAACCCCGAGCATACCCTCAAAACCAGATCTGGGTGGCACAGGGGGAAAATTCAGTGACACTTTATTAAATACTCACTGGCTGCCTGACCTCTATGGGTACAGACCTGGTTGGCTTTGGTGCAAGTGATAATCGGGTAACTCTAATCAGAGTGCAATGCCAGAGTAACATGCAACTGAGAACAGGCCAGGCATGAACGGAGTCCGTGGGGAAGGAAGCACAGCTCCCCGCCATGCGTCCCTCAAGGACAAACCTCCGTCTACTGTACAATGGATTCTGCCTCTGCCCCTGCATCAACATCATGACCATTTAAGATGCATGAAGCAAGGAACTCAGAGCCACCACTGGCTTACAATGTTTCCAACAGCTGTCCTGCTTCAGCTAAGGTATCTTAACTTTACCCTTACCACATTTCCACGACTGTCTTTTAGCTAAGGTTCTTAACTTTACCCCTACCACACTTCCACGGCTGTCCTTCAGCTAAGGTATCTTAACTTTACCTTTACCACGTTTCCACAACTGTCCTTCTTCAGCTAAGGTTCTTTAACTTTACCCTTGAAAGGATTCTGCCACAGCATTCACAACAACAAGCTGTTTGCTTTGCTAGCTCTAGACCAAACCTGAAACTCTGGCAATAAAGGTGCTGACAGAGAAGCAAGCGGGCACTGGGTGTCAGGTCTCCAGGGGCTCCTCAGGCTAGTCCTACTGTGGTCTAGCAGTAGCCTAATGGTGCCAGGCTTCTCCAGACCTCTGAGAGACTGATATAGACTGATACAGTCTGTTCAAGCTGAGGCCAGTCACAGTATCAGTGCCCTCTGGACACTGACCATTTGACATTTGATCTTCACCTCTGGGCCTCAGTTTCTTACTTTGTCTTTATTTCTGCACAACTGGCCTGTACCTACCCAGCAAAGGTTTTATGTGGCTTAGAATATCGTATGTCAATGTCCAGCACATAACAGGCAACCCATGGTAACTTTTGCCCCAATCTTAACTCATAATTGACTAATCTCTATAAAGGAAAATAAAATGGTGTACACTCTACAGTATTCAAAGAGTAATTATCCATAAAACTTCACCAAAAGACTAGATCTGATTATAAAGAGTATATGAATAATTTCAGAAACAAACAGCATATAATTTCTGTCTGGCCTATAAATAAAATCACATGGTGCTTAAGGGTAGCTTTAAAAATGAATTGGTCAAGTTTGTGTCTCCAAAACAACCCATGTAAGGATAGAGTCCACCAAGGGATAAGGCCAAGACATGTGAGAGAACTTAATGAGATGCCACATTAGCATGTATTAGGTATGCAGGAACCACGTACCGCTGCCACCCTGGGAGGTTAACCCTTCATCTTCAAAGATGTCAAAGCTCTCCTGGCGCGCCTTGGAGGTTTCAGACTTTAGCATCTCCAGGGGCATTCGCAAGACGGTGAGATTATACTGAAGCGAGTGGGACAAATCATAGCTGTAACTGAGAAGAGAGTTCAGACGTAAGAACTTACAGAAGCAAAGCGTTTCACAGTCCTAGCTCCTGAGAGGAATTACACACCGGGCTAAATTACTTCGCACCTGTTATTTCACTTGGAAGCAATGCTGTTAAATGAGCACTTCAAAACACGACTAGAAATGAAACAAAACCTCACCGCCCGACTTACGTGTCTGCACTAGAAATACACAGCTATGCTGTGGGTCATGTACGCTTGCTGACTGGTTCTCTCTACCAGAGTTTACACATGAGCAAAAACAACTACAAACAGGGCTAGAGAGATGGTTCAGCGGGTAACAGCACTGGCGGTTTTTCCAGAAATCTTGAGTTCAATTCCTAGCAACCATGTAGTGGCTCACAACCATCTGTAATGAGATCTGGTGCCCTCTTCTGGCCTGCAGGGATACACGCAGTAGCTTTACAATATATATTTGTGTTTATTTTATAAATAGTTGACTATTAACAACTAAAGAGAAATCTTTAAAAACGCAAAGCACCAGCTTGTGCACAGCACTGATGTGCACTGAGGCTGCTGGCCCTTGCTCCTGCTGACTCAGGTCCAGCCCAGCCTGACTAGGGTCCTGGTTGGTGAATACCCTCACTCCAGCCTGACTTGGGTCCTGATTGGTGAATGCCCTGGCTCCTGCCCTACTCAGGTCCTGATTGGTGAATGCCCTTGCTTAACGCTACATTCATTCCACCAAAACTATTAATTCATCAGTATCGAAATACTTTTACCTATTTCTAATTAATTTTTACTTAATTTTGCCAGATCACTAACTGAAACTGAACTATGGCACTGTTACAACTCTACATTAGAACTAATACAATTTGTACAACTTCTATAATTTAAAATTCCAAAATGAAATTATCTTTAAATTATATGTCTCCCTGAAATGAAGGTAATTTTTATAGTGATAATAAATATCTTTAAAGTTATCCACTTAAATTTTCAAGAATCAAGTTTTTAAAAGGAAAATTCCTAGAGTTAAATGGCTTTAGATGAAATAATCTGGCTATTGATTGTATTCCAATTCTCGCTCTATAATCAATCACAGTGACCAATAGACGTATAATTAGGCTCAAACTTACCTAAAATAAAAGTTGCTAGATAGATCCACATTTTGAAATATCCTTAGGTACCTTAAAAAAAAAAGTAAAGCACATCATAAACATGAAGTATTATTTTTCATGGCTTAGCATCCAGTCGGGGTATCCTTGCATTAGCAGGTGTGCTCACTGGGCGGAGGAATTCCAGCCATCCCTGGCACGGTATGCATCTGTCGACCATCTCTGAGATCCTTGGCTTACTCTGCTCCTCTTTATGTACTGACTGCTCTCAAATGGGTGGAGCGTAGACTGGGGACAGGGCAGGATTAAGACAGTTTGTTTTATTTCATTGAGTTTTATAAATTCTCAGAGGATAGAGACAAGGCAGGTACACAAGTTAACGAAACGTTGTGGGTCACCATAACTTAAAGTTGGAAAGTTTTTAATGTGAAAACAAACAAGAATAGAATAGTGGGTGTGCAAGCACGCAGAAGCCAGGCGGTAGGTGCATGTAGAAGCCCCATGGTGGGTGCACGCAGAGGCTGGGCAGTGGATGCCCCTCTGTATCGCTTCTCTGCCTTGTCCCCTTGAGACGTGGACTCTCACCCACCCTGAACCCAGAGCTTGTTTTTCCAGCTAGAATGGCTGCCGAAGGGTCCCAGTTATGCTCCTGTCTCCTCACCCACTAGCTCTGGGGTTCGAGGAGCCAGCAGCCACACCTGAATTTCTACATAGGTGCATCCTCTTGCTTGTGCAGTAAGCACTTCACCCACTGGGCCATCTCCCCAGCACAAAGGCTCCCCTATAATGTGAAACAATGGGTAACACAGACACTTCAGTAGCTTTGCTGGAAATGCTATGAACATGCAGGAACAGTCAGACAAATCCATATTGTGGGACCTTTTGTAAGAACCTTAAAATACATGCAAGCTACCAAAGAAAAACTAGAGGACCTGCAGCTGGAGAGTGGTGGTGCACACCTCTGATCCCAGCACTTGGGAGGTAGAGGCAGGTGGAGCTCTGTGAGTTCAAGGCCAGCTTGATCTACAGAGCAAGTTCCAGAACAGTTAGGGCTGTTTGAAACCCTGTCTTGAAAAACAAAAAGAGAAAGAAAATGTAAGAAAGTAAGGAAGAAAAATGAAAGGAAAAAAAAGAAGGAAAAAAAAGAAAACTAAGGACTTTTGTACATTTCAGAACCAACATGGCAGGTACAGTCGGTGAATTTCAATTAGATTCTCAAAAATGTGAGTGCGCATGCACACATGTATAAAACTAACTATAAAGGATTTTATTGGGACATTTTTAGGAAGCATATGAACTACAAACTATGGTAACAAATTAATATTAAATTTAAGGTCTCTTGATACAGATAGTTGTGAGAAATGCTTGGGACCAGAAGTGCTTCATACTTTGGTGTTTCTGGAATATATGTATAAACACAGTGAAGTAACCTTGGGAAAGGGACCCAAGTCTAAACACAGAATTCGGTTGTGTTTCACACACACCCTAAGGTTTTGAACAGTGGCGTATTGTGTATCTGTGTTCTGACTGTAACATGTCATCAGAAGAGACTATGGATTTCCCATTGTGGCATCACATCAGTGTTCAAGACAGATGCAGATTCCAGGTTTGCATATTTCTCAAAAAAGCAACTTAGAAAAATAGAGTTTGCTTGTATATTTAGGAGTGGAGAGGAATGTATCTAAGCAGAGGAAACTAATGGTGAATTTAGAAGAAGGGCAAATTGGTGTTCACTGAACTGTTTTTATTCCCTGATTTTCTGTAGATCTAAAATCTCTTAGAAGTTTGGTAAAATTATTGGAGACTTGTGAATGTGAGGTAAATTATTATCAAATTAATAGATTTAAAGTTAGAAGCTGTCACATTATAAAAATTAAAAGATATCTTTATGATTGGTAGTAGTTTAGTGGTACAGGAGAATTGTCTGTACTCTGTCAATCATGTTTTAAATAAACACTGAACGGCCAGGCAGGAAGTATAGGAGGGTCAACCAGATAGGAAGTAGAGACCAGGCAATGAGAACAGGAGAATTCTGGGAAGAAGAAAGCTCTTTCCCCATTCCTGCCCAGACCACCAAAGAAGCAGAATATGACCTGCCCACTGAGGAAGGTACCAAGCCATGTGGCTAATATATACTAGAATAATGGGCTATATAAGTTATAAGAGCTAATACGAAACCTGAGCTAATGGGCCAATCAGTTTATAACCTATGTAGACCTGTGTATGATTTTCTTTGGGACTTGTCGGCTGTGGGGTACCAGGCAGGACAGAAACCCCAACAAGCCAGCCCTCGTGTTACAGTTTAGAATTTAGTTATGCTCTGTCATGTTGTTTAATATAGGGATTTAACAATCTTAAAATTATCTTATGATTAATAGTGTGTGATATGTAGACATTATCCACAATAATTATTATCCACAATAATGTCTACATACCACACAGTCTAAACTGTTAGAAAAGACTTAGCTGGGCGGTGGTGGCACACACCTTTAATCCCAGCACTCAGGAGGCAGAGTCAGGCGGATCTCTGTGAGTTTGAGGTCATCCTGGTCTGTAAGAGCTAGTTCCAGGACAGGTTCCAAAGCAACAGAGAAACCCTGTCTCAAAAAGACAAAAGAAAAAGAAAGGAAGAGGAAGGAAGGAAGGAAGGAAGGAAGGAAGGAAGGAAGGAAGGAAGGAAGGAAGGAAAGAAGGAAGGAAAAAAGGAAGAGACCTTTGCAGCCCAAAACAGGAACTGAAATGTTGACCCACCATTTTTGTGTCTATTAAACATTTGTATTTCCTTGTCCTGTTGTCAGAAACACAGAGTAAGTTGCCAGCGCCAGTGCATACCTAGCTTCATCAGGGTGAGTAATCCGAACAGAGTCATTGGGGATATAAATCATATTTGTATCTTCAATCTTATAGATCGCATGGCCTCCAATATCTGCCATTTTCCTCCGCTTAGTTATTAACACAATATAGTAGCCTTCCAAAAACCTGACGAAACCTGTGCAGTAATACATACAATGTCATATAAAGTTAGTAATGTAAATGATTTTAGATACATATTGACCAAAGACTTTATACATTTCCAAATTTAATATTTTCATAACTTTACAGTCAAATACATTTTTGGCACTTATATAACCTAGAAATATTACTGGGGAAGCTGGAGATGTAGCTCAGTTGGTAGAGAGCTTGTCCAGCATGCACACAGCTGTGGGTTCAATCCCAGAACTGCATAAAATCAGGCATGGGGCACACACTTATCATCTTGCCACCTGGGATAGAAGCAGGAGGGTCAGATGTTCCAGGTCATCTGCAGCTACGGTGAGTTTGAGGCCAGTTGCACACAATCTGTACTCTATGTGCATTCTATATGCCTGAGAGAATACACTTTATACATAAGGCAAGATCATGTAACCCATACTGGCCTCAAACTCTTCTGGCCTCCAAAGGTATCAGGCATGCACGTGGTACATAGACATATATGTAGACAAAATACTCATATACATAAGGTAATAAAAAATTCACATTTTAAGTTACAGTAAAATATCAGCATTAAAATAATTACGTTAGATTTCTAAGTAACTACTGAGCTAAATAAAAAGTATTTCTTCCTGTCTTTTTTCTTAAGTTTAAAATATAATCGGCATCTGAAGTGGAATTTAAAGTACATGGAACTTATGGATCAACACATTTGAACTCACATGATATTAAACAAACATTCTCGGGCCCACAAACACACGTCCTACCAACATGGAACCGCGAAGGACTTGTCAAGTCTCAGAAGGCACATCAAAGGCGCCGAGCCAGCGTGGAAGCCAACTGTGCTGTATTAGTTACTATTCTGGCTGAGGAAGGAGGGTTTCATCTGGCTCACTGTTTCAGGGACACAGACTTCGCAGTAAACAAGAAATGGCACAGAAGCACTGGAAGAGGGACAGCCTGCATAGCACCCGCTGGAAGAGGGACAGGCTGCATAGTACCCACTGGAAGAGGGACAGGCTGCATAGCGCCCACACTAAGAGAGTGAGAGACAAAGGCTGGTGCCCGGTTCTCCTTTCCCTTCAGTCTGAGACTCCAGTCTATGGCGTGGCACCGCCCATCTTCTCAGCTAAGCGTTTCTGGAACACACTCACAGACAGACCCAGAGGTTGTTCTCATAGCAACTCTAAATCCTGCCAGGTTGACAGTCAAGATTACCCATTACACATGCCTTAGCACTCTGTCTTCATGCGCAGCCGCCAGGACCCAAAATGGGCCTAAAAGAGGATGTAGAGGCTGTGACATCGTGTTGAGAAAAAATAAACATGGCAGGATGCAGTAAAAGTTTCAGTCAGCAGAGTTAAAATAGAAAATGCTCATTGGAAACTTGAAATGACATAAAGTCCACATTAATATCGGTAGCAACGGCCCAGTTCATCTTATACCTAGTCTAGTAGGTTAAGAGACACTCAAGTTTCCAGCCGTAGCGCAGCTAAGGTGTGAATGCTCGCTGCTCTCATTTTCAAGTTCCCAAAGGCCTGAGCAGTCTGCCTGTGCCATGACGACTACTCCCCGACAGCCCAGATCCCGCAGGGCCTTTGTGCTACGGCCTCTGCTGTCACTTCCATCACATCTGGTTCCATCCTCAGGATGCAGTGCAAATCTTCTGTCCACTGGAAATCCCTCCTGCCCATTCCAGGCCTACATAATATAAACTCCAGCATGATTTAACCTTTGTCATATGACTTGGCTGTATGATTACAGCTCTGGAGCTGCCTTGTCTATATTGACGACTTTTCTCTGTTCTCGCCCAATCAGGAGCAGAGCTATCTGTGATGGGCAATCCTCGTCAGCATGGCAGGGCTTAGAATCACCTAGCGGACAAATTTCTGGACAAGACTGTGAGGCCATTCCCAGAGTGGATGAACCGGGACAGGAGGACTCACTCTGAGAGTGTGTAGAGACACCTTGGGCTGAGGACTCACTCTGAGAGTGTGGAGAGCCACCCCGGGGTGACAGGCGGGTCTGAATGAAAAGGAAAACACAGGAGCAAGTGAGCTGAGCACCAGGGCCATTCCTCTCTGAAATGACTGTGGAAGCAATGACCAGCTGCCTCATGCCACTGCCATTGTGCCTTCCCTGCCACCAGGGACTGAACCCTCCAACTGTGAAACAAATAACCTTCCTTTAGGTTCCTTTTGTCACAACTGTGGGGAAAAGTAATTAATGTGCCATCGGATGATAATGACAGGTTCCCTATCTATGGCAGTGAGGGGACTACAGAGCATCTAACTAGAGGAAAAGAAAGTGGATGTTGCTTGAATAAAATGTGAAGGAGCAGCCTCAGGCTAAAGCAGCCGGTACGTAGAGATCAACATCAGGCCAGGCGTGGAGGACCACACCTTTAATCCCAGCACTCGGGAGACAGAGGCAGGAGGATCTCTGTGAGTTTGAGGCCGTCCTGGTCTACACAGCAAACTTCAGACCAGTCAAGGCTACATAGTGAGACCCTGTGTCAGAGACAGAGGGAGGGAGGGAGGATCAACACTGGGTCTTTGAAGTAGACTAAGGGTCCAGACTCCCTGAAAACAAAGCTAACACAGTTTGGAATTCTTTATCTGAAGTTCTGCTGAACTTGCTATCAACGGAAACCATGTCTCTGAGTCCCAGTGACTTACACTATATATATAGTGAGAATACTTTACTGCTGAGATTCTGAAAAACCTTTCTGACTGAGTAAGAAGGTGGCCATTGTCTGTGCTGGCTAGCTTTGTGTCAACTTGACTCAAGCTAGGGTATTCTGGCAAGAAGGAATATTGATGAAGAAAACCCTTCTCCAGGACAGGCCCGTAGGCAAGTCTGTAGGACATTTTCTTGACTGCTTGTTGATGTGGAAGATCTGACTCACTGTGGACGCTACCCTTGGGCTGGTGGCCCGGGCTGGTATGAGAAAGCAGGCTGTGAAAGCCACGGAGAGCAAGTCGGCAAGCAGTACTCCTCCGTGGCCTCTGCATCATCCCTGTCTCTAGGTTCCTGCCTTGAGTTCCTGTCTCTAGGTTCCTGCCTTGAGTTCCTGTCTCTAGGTTCCTGCCTTGAGT